CGCGCGCGGTGTGAAGATGACTGTAACGTTGGCCGGAGTCTATCTTGCGCCGCGTCTGGCGAAGAACATCGTCTCTTACGGAAAGCTGTTGAGCAAATGTTTTACCCTCGCATACGACAGCAACAAATGCACGCTAGCGCAGCGCAGCGAAGGCATCGTCGTGTTCGATTTCGCGATCGACAGCAACGTGTTGTACGTTAAGACTACAGCGATACGCGTGAGGCACAGCGCTGGATATGCGATCATGGCCACGCTCGAAACGCGTGCAATGGGTGCTGATGCGTACGGAATACACGAAGCATCGCTGCTACACTGGCACAAGCGACTCGGCCACCTTGCGTTTGATACGGTTGTGTGTATGGCGCGCGATCCGGCGTTGGACATCCGACTGTCCAACAACAAGAGCATATCGGGCGTGTTTTGCCGCGAGGGTAAGCTGACGCGCAACGCGCAGTCGCATCAAGACAGCGTCGCCAACTCGCCAATCACCAGGATTGGCGGCGTCATCTGATCCGTTCTTCAGGCCCCGATGACGCCGCAGGATCGGCCCAGCACTCGATAGCTGGTCAACTATATCGACCATAAGTCGAACTACTGCCGCGTGTTCCTTGCGAGCACGAAGTTAGCGGCGGAGAAGTCGTATAAGGCGTTCCTCGTCCACTTTGAGAAGATATTCGGTTTCAAGTTTCACGTACTGCGTACAGACGGCGGTGGCTAGCACTCCAACGTCGACCTGTTCTGCAAGCGCACGGTTGTCGCGCGCCGAGTGTCTGAAGAGAGCAACTAGGCCTCGAACGATAAGGTGGGGAGAACACACCGGACTGTGCTAAACCTTGCGCGCAGCATGATGTTCGCGTGCGCGCTGCCGTTCTAGTTTTTGAAGGCGACGCGGTGCAGTCCGCCATCCACATCTTAAATCGCAGTCCTACGCGAGCAAACGCGAATAGAGCGTCGCCTATCGAAGTGCTGACTAGTAAGGCGATGGATTTGCGCAGCATCGTCGTTTTTTTCGGATGGTCGTGTAACGGCTACCACGATCCACGCAAGAGCTCGCTGCAGCAGTAATCGCAGACATGCATTATTGGCACGTGAGTGAGGAGACGTAGGGGTACAAGGTCCTCCTCCATCCAAAGAATAAGGTGATCGTCACGCAACAGGCGAAGAACATATCTACGCTGTCCGACGCGCGGAATGCGTAACTTCAGCGCGCGATGGAGGTCAGCGATCAAGACGACGAAGTGAAAGAGGAAGCGGCGACAGCGGTGGCAGCAGAGGCAGCGGTGGCGACCTGCGACGGCAGTGGAAGAACACAAGATGGTCGTGAACTTCGCGAGGAGAGCAAGAAGCCGTGGGCGCGACAAGCGCACGGAATGCGTCGCGCATCGAAGCGAAAGCAAGCAGCTTCGCGCCAAGATGAGCGAGATGCGAGGAACGAGGTGGTCCGCGCATCCTTCCAGCTTGGTCCACTCAACTATTGAGAGGCCATGCGTAGCTCGAAGCGCGCGGAGTGGCAGATGCAAGAGTAAATCGCCGCGCTCGATTCCGACGACGTGTGGCGCGTGACGAAGCGCATCCCGGGCGCGAACGCTCTTCACTTTAAGTGGGTCTTTAAGACCAAGACGGATCCGACGGAGTGATCGAGCGAAACCAGGCAAGGATTGTCGCATGCGGTAATGAGCAAGTGCTTGGCGTTGATTACAACCTGACATTTGCCGCTGTGATAAATATCTCGACGAGAATGTCGGGCTGGCGCTACCAGCGACGTGAAGGGGGGGGAGACCAAGCGCGGAGACATTCCGAACGCATTAGTGCTTGCCGAGAGGGAAATACACCTCGAAATCTGCTTGCAGGTGCCACGCGGTATGACCGTTTTGGAGAGCACTTTGCGCAAGATTGGCGCTACGCATCCAGGCGAGGTCGTCTTGGAACTGCGGAGGATACTGTACAGGCTGAAGCAATTGGGCGCCTCTGGAGACAGTTGCTTCATTCGCGAAAATGAGTCATAGGGTACGTGCGCTCCGTGTCAGTTATGTGGTTTTATTACATAGCACGACGGCGAAGAGTCGGTCGTTTTCGGTGTCTACGCGAAGATTTGATGGCAACGGGAACGAGCGTCGCGGCGGTAGAGAGATTCTTCGCGATCCTGGAGCCGCTTTCGACCAAGGATCTCAACCACGTCCATTAGTTCCTGTGGATGATGGTGGAGCTCGGAAGAGATAACGCGTACCTCATCGACTAGGAGGAGGCCATCAAGGAGCTCGTGCATGCTCATTGGATGAGCGATGCAAACCCGACGAAGACGCCCATAGGAGACGACTGCTACGAGGTGGTAGACGATGCCGCACTGCTAAAAACAGCAAGTGCAGGCGGTGGTGCGACAATTAACGCATTCTAGTTGCTCTTCGGAAGCCTGCTGTAGGTCGCGAGGTGATCGAGGCCGTACGTTGCATTTGCAGTGCACCAAGCGACTAGACAGACGCATTCACCACGGGTGCACGGCTGGAAGCTCTCCAAGCGTGTCGCAGATTGCCTCAAGGGCACCTCATCGCTCAAGATCGAGATGGCGCCGGCACGAACGAGTTGCGACGCGCTGCAGCTCGAATCCTACAGCGACGCCGACTTGTCATATGACAAAGAGGACCGGAAGTCGCTAACGGGAGGCACCTTGCTCCTAAATGGGATGGCGTTGTCGTGGGTCGCAAAGAAATAGTGCGGTGTGAGCCTCTCGACAATAGAAGCCGAGTTTGTTGCGGCGTCGGAGGTCGCGCGCGAACTCATTGGATTTCTCCAGATGCTCGGAGAGGTGGGTATGGCGCTGGTTGTCCCTATGCTGATGCATGCGGACAACCAGGCAGCCATCATCCAGATCTAATGCGAGGCTTACTCGATTAAGGCCAAGCACATCGACGTGCGACGCAAGCATCTACGCGACCTCGCTCAACGCGGAATATCACGGCGTAGCATGTTCTATCTGAGCTGATGATCGCGGACCTGATGACGAAGGCCCTCGACGCAACTAATCTGGGGGCGCTGCGCAACCTCATGCGGCTCCAGTAAGGGCGGGACGCGAATGAGGAGCTGGAGTAGCAAGAGCGGGCGAGATGAGTGCTTCATAGTGCGCGACAAGGAATGGGACGCGCGTGAGAAGTGTAAGGTCGGAGGAAAGAAACCGACGACGGAGGAAAAGAGAGAGAGACCTCATTGGAGACGTACTCGAGGAGGAGTGTAGGAAAGCAAGGGATTTGCTATTAGGTGGATCGAATATTCGGTAAGCTGTGTCGATTAGCGTCATGCGTTCGATGGGAAGAGGGCAGGACAGCTGCTTGGAAAGATGAGTGGTGAGAACAGCTTTGAAGAAGAGAGCGGTATAAGAAGAGACATAAATGTTCAATACAGAATTTTATCGTCTTCCTACTGCAACAAGCATACTTGCCTACAAACGGCTCATCACTTATGTAGCGGAGCTACACAGCTCCTTAAGTCAGAGGAAGACTTTAACGCTAAACGAGCAACTTTGGTTCTGCGAACCTGACTCAAAGACTCAACAGCTCAGAGAGCTAAGGTTTGGTTCAAAGAACCGACTCAGAGAGTCAACAAGCTCAGAGAGCTTACGGTCCCTGTTCCAGGGGGACCAAACGATTCAGAGAATCAACGCACAGAGTGCACAAGGAGTAGCTGCCTTAACAAGGCGTTGCTATCTCCTCAACGATCACAAGACGCCTCAAAGAGGCACGTGTCTATCGGATCCATAATGGGAACTGAATTTTATTTCTACTTTTAACCTACAAGAACACCTCAGAACAACGAAATTAACCTACTCGCTAATGTCCTGATTAAACCTCTCAAAAGATCTCGTAATCGATGGTTGACAGACATCAGGGTTCAACAATTGATACTCTGTTCTAATATCACTTTAAAAGGGGATCCCATCCCTTGTGTGCACCACACCTATTGTCGACTACCAGTCGACGTGTAACCTCGTTTCAGCTCATGTGTCCATCTCTACAGGTCATCCTCCTGGATTTCGAAGGCTTTTGCCTCCTGTTACCGTTGTGCCATGAGATTTTCGCTTCCTAAGGTGCTACGCGTGGACGTCAATGTCGCAAAATGCTATTGCATATGGTATGTCAGCATTAGCTTTTCAACAAAACAGCCAATTGCTCTTTACAATTCTTTGTTAGAGCCTTGCTGGCTCGAGATTGCGCGGTGACGAAAACTTCGGTTTTGGTATACGTGGTATCAGGACTTGTGTTTATGCTACGATGGCGCGTGTATTGAATCGCGATTTCGGCCATTTAAGGTGCACAGGACTAGACGTGACGCATAGCATTGTCGTACATTTTTATGATAGATGCTGCAAATACAAGTCGGCGAAATCGCGATTCGATTAGCAAGCCAAGAGTGCGCTTCTGTTTCGTTGTAATGCCATCGTCGAAGACATCTGGCACTACTGTTTGGTGTTCTAGTGAGGAAATGACGACAACGCGAGAATGTAAGTGTCTTTTCTGCTATCACATTGTTCTGCTGACTTGAGACTAAAATGACTGAAGCGACAGCCGCAGGAAGTAAAAGTTATCGTTACGTGCTCAACTATATTGCCCTCAGACTTGTTGAATTGCATATAGTGATGCAGTAAAGACAATCCGGAGATCAGAAACGCCATTGCTTTTGATGCTGCTGTTGCACATGACGTTTTCTTTGATCGCAAGCTGGCTCAAATGAGGACACGAATTCTCCAGCAAAAACACAGAACTGAGTTTCCTTGTCCCGAAACGCATTACGCCCGCATCGGCTCACTAAACGGGGTTACACTTCTAGCTCCAGCCAGAACCTTCTCAGACACAACAAGGCTTTATTCTTTCACCTGACTTTGGTCTATAGGCGAGAGTCTTCGTCACGCTCTCTTGCAACGGCTGAGAATATAGTCCTGGGCAAAAAGCATCCAACCAATCCACCTCCAGAACTGCTCCTAGCCTCACACGGCCAAGCTCTCCTACAGCTTACTGCTTCTTGGCATTATAAGCCAAACTCTCCTGATTTAGCGGATTGTCCGGAGAGCGACGCCACTACATAGCAAACGGCAAAAAAAGAGCACCAGTTAATCACTGTCAAAAACACACCGTCGCAACGATCACCGCATCCTACCATTTCGCTCAATTTTTGCTTGTACTGCGATAGCTTCAAGCCCGGGAAATCCTCCTTGACCTGTGGCAGCATGACCTCCTCAAATGCCTTGTAAGCGGCCTTTGCTCTACGCTCTGGATGCTTTCCGAGCTCTTTGTCCCCCACAATCAGCAGATCTAGTGCTGCATCCAGACTGCGCGCTTCTGATGGCTCGTCTTTGTTCTTGTTCTTATTGGCCTGGAATTTGTTTTCAAACTTGATCTCCTTTTTTCCGGGCCTTCCAGCCGTGCGAGCTTCCTCAGCCTCCTTCAACGCCGAAATCTCGGCCTGCGTAAGCTTCTTGCTGATCTCTCCATCAGCCACAACAAAGCCCGATTGCTTCTTTGCCCCCCGATTGCTCTTCTTCACGACTGGCTTGACTGCTTCCTCCCAAGGCTTTGCAACCTCTTTCACTGCTTTTTTTTGCTTTCGGATAGCGTGCTTGTCCTCATTCAATGCGTGCTCTTCCAGCGCTAACACCTTCTGCTTCTCGGCCTTTTTGGCCTCCAGCTCTGCGCGCTTTCGCTCGTCCTCTTGACGTTTCCGCTCCGCGCGTGTGTCTGAGCCCTTGGCCCACTCTGCAGCCTCAGCCGCAGCATCTGCTGCAGACTGTGCAGCGTCCTTCGTTGTCTTGGCGGCCGCCTTCTTGGCTTTCGCAGCCTCCACCTTCGTGTTGGCGCCTCCCTGCTTCTTGCCCATCCGATCGGTCGTCGTGGTAACGCGAAACGAGGGCGACAAAGTGGAGAATATTCGACATGGCATCCAATAAGCTCGAGAAGGTCAGGCCATGGATGTCACAGGCTCGACATATTCTAGCCAGTAATCGCTGGCGACAAAATACCGGTGCAAACGACACCAGTATCTGTCGCTGTCAAGTACGAGATACCGACCACACTCACGCATACCGTCGAATCAGTACGGTAAATACAAACAACGTTGCGTGAGTGGAGTGAGCGCTATCAATCGGCGCAACACCGGTGCAAGCTGAACATACCGGCGTCCTCTTGCCAGATTACCATACATACGAGCATTGAGCTGGTGCTCTGCGCACTAGTAGGCAGAGCACGAGGCTCGACATCACGTGGTACGGTATACCAGTCCGAAACGGATGGTATCCGGCTAGGCCAACTGCGTCCGGCTTTTGGTAATTAAAGAACGACGGAAGCCGTTATTGATCGTGACGCATGAAGGACAGACACTCGACAAAATGCAGGCAGTGAAGAAGGCTGTAACCGACGTCGCCTTAGTGGATGCCACACGACTGCGAAAGTTCCTCGAGGCTGGTCGCGGTCAGACGATTGTGCTGACCGGTGCGGGCATATCGACGGACTCGGGCATTCCAGACTACCGAGGACCCAACGGTGTTTACATGCGCAACAAGGACTTCCGCCCGATCCAGTTCCAGGAGGTCAACCGGACGTACTGTGGTTGGATTCCGAGTTGGCATACGACTAACCTGATTTGCATGTCCAGTTTGTGACAGCGCACACGTATCGACAGCGGTACTGGGCACGCAGTTTCCTCGGCTGGCCCAAAATTCTCAACGCGCAGCCGAATGGATCGCACTACGCACTCACGGAGCTCCAACGCGCGGGCGCGGTCTCGAGCATCTTGACCCAGAACGTAGACCGGCTGCACGCGAAAAGCGGCTCGCACAGTGTCGTGGAGATGCATGGATCGTTGCACGAGGTGGAGTGTCAAGGGTGCGGCGACGCGATCCCTCGTCAAAGCTTTCAAGACGCGTTGTGCGAGCTGAACCCAGAGGCTGCTTGGTGGTCGGTCAAACACCCGATCGAGAAGACCAGCGACGCCCCCTCTAGTGAAAACGTGAACCCAGATGGGGACATCGACATTTCGTGGAGCTACGACGAATTCGTCTACCCAGCGTGCGGCAAGTGCGGCGGCATTATGAAGCCCAGGTACGCTCGATTCGTTCCGCAATGATCGCGTATTGCAAAGATCTTAACGCGCAGATGCTGCTCCCTGTCCTATTAGGGTCGTGTTTTTCGGTGAGAACATGCCGGGCATTACTCGAACGACTACAGTGGAGCGCGTGAGCAATGCAAGCGCGCTACTGGTCGTCGGCTCGTCGCTCAAGGTTTTCTCGGCCATGCGCTTGATCAACCAGGCGCACGCTCGCAAGATCCCCATCGCCATTGTTAACTTGGGACCGACGCGAGCTGACGAGCTTTGTGAACTTCGCATCGGTCAACCGTGCACACAGTTGCTCACTGATGTAGCGGACCATTGGTAGTAGACGCACTACATTGAAGCCATGGAGACCCGGTCGCTCAGGGTTCACCTACATACAGCAACGTAGTTCGTAGCGCTTGACCAAAACTGCAAACACACCGCAAATGACATTTGCGTTGATATGTTACACACGCAAAATGCAGCAAAATTTCTTCACCAGAGCCTGCCATGGGTGAACCTACAGCTTGCAGATAGGAGCAGCTAGCTCCAGACGGTGCGGGTCGGAAGCACAGGAGTTGAGCCCCCGACAGGCATGTGCGACTTGCCAACGCTTCCGGCGTTCAGAGACATCACACGCTGTGCAAGCCAGCCAGGCCCTTGCAGTTTTACCAGCTCTTCCTTGCAGCTCTCCGGCTCCGGCATCGAAGCAACCCCAGTGTCCACGCTCTCTGGTTCAGACGCCAGCGGAGCGTCGGCTCCACCATTCGAAGGTGCCAGTTCAGCAAGCATCTTCGGCAACGCTTCTTGCTTACTTGCATCACTCTCCGGCTTCAGTGAAGCCTTTTCAGTGGTCAGCTTATCGGCAGCTGCAGCAGCGGCGGCAGCAGTGTCGGAGCGAAAAGTGATTGAGGTAGAGTGATCAAACGGACGTCGTTCCATCACTGATTGACTAGCATGTGCTAGCACGGGCACGGCCGAAGCTGCTTCACGAAGCTGGGCCTCCGAAAACTGCCGCAAATTTACGGTAGACTCCTTGACGCCAAGGCGCGGGCCATCGTACGCAGGCATGGTCTTTTGGATCGTGCGACCCAGCGCATGGATACACTGCGCAACCTGCGCGAGATTCGTTTGGTTGTACAAGTCGACCGTCTCGAACAGATCGAATTCGGCGACGCCAATGCTGCGGCATGCACGAACAAAGTTACTCACGTTCTCCATCTGCTTGAAAGGCGTTGCTGAGGTCTGGATACGCGGAATCAATCCAGGCTTGATCTTGTTCATCACGGTGCACAGCATGACGCCGTCCTTCAAGCTATCGCCAAAGCTCGCTAGAAACTTCTCCCCGAGCACCGCCTCGATCCACGCTTGCGCCTCTTGTTCAGCTGTTGGTCCAATGCTGTCAGCTACGCTGTTCAGCGCAAGCCTTGACGGCGCGACCCTCTTGTCGCCCACGGCCGTCTTGTTCACGTCATCAGAAAGTTCTGCAACTGTCGCCTCGACTTCCTCATTTGTCAGTGTACGCTTCAGAGGCGACGCTTTGACCGCAGGCTGGGAACAAGACCATGTCAACTTGTCCGCCTTGCGAAACCGAGACAACTGCTCGATCTTCTCGGCTGACGGAGGCGGCGGAGGCGGTGGGGCCCGATACGCGCTCTGGGCAGCATCGGCTCCAAGCATGACGTTGTTCGTATACGAAGTCGTCTGTCGCTTCATTGTACGGAAACTGCCCAGTGTCTGCTGCGCGGGGATGTTCTTCCCATCAGCAAGCTGGTCCGACGTGAAGGAGCGCTGGTTCTTGCTGCTCTCCTTGACGCCCAGCGTAGGACCCTCAAACTTCGGGTAATTGCGCTGCACGGCGCGCCCCAGCGCAAAAACGCAGCGCACCACGTTGCCCAAGTCCTTGCGCTCAAACAAGTCGACTGTCTCGAACAGGTCGAACTCGCTCACGCCCATGACGCGGCAGGCCTTGATAAAGCACGACACGTTCTCCATGAGCTTGAACGGCATCTTCGACTTGGTCTCGATGCGCTTCACGACGCCCGGGTGGATCTTGTTGGCCGCAGTGCAGAGGATGACGCCGTCGCGCAGACCTTCGCCAAAGTCGTCGCCGATCTGCATCGCCGAGATGGCCTCGAGCCACGCGCGCGCCTCGTTCTCCATGTCGTAGTCGTAGCGCTCGGCAGCTCTACGCGCCAGCTCAGCGTCCAGACCAAAGCCACCGCCACGAACGACCACAGGAGCACGAGAGGACATTCTAATGCTTCTTCTGCTTCTGCTTCTTCTTCTTGTTTGGCGTTGTTGGTCTGCGTGGTCTCTTGATGTGCACACTTGAGGTTTAATCGAATAGTGACGGCGCGCTGCGAGAGTCAGACGGACCGAACAGATGGATAATACCAGCTGGACGAACGGAGCTGAACAGGGCAGACGGGTGGGAAGCAAACCGGTATTTTCTAGACGTTTTTGACCTGCTCTACACGACTCTTGTATGTGAACGACAGCAGGCAAAAAGGGACCACAAACCTGTCGACAGTACGAGGGCAAGGGCTCACAAAGTGTCACAGGTGCAAAACCTCGCGTCCATGCCAGCTGACCGTTTCTTCCATCCCGGTCGCACGATCGTACAATCGACAAGATGACAATTTGCGAGGTTTTGCCACCACTGTCCGACGTCGAGGCCAATAAAACCTGCTGTTGTCTGTCACATGCAGACGGAATAAACCGGTCGACGAGTCGAAGAACCCCATGCACTGAGCGTCGGGTCCAGACACGACCAACGTATGGAGTTGCACGGCTACAATCCGTGCGTTGCCGCAGTTGCAAGTCGCTCACTCGTCCTTCGCCCTAATTCAATGGTGGCGCTGGCATTGAGTCCCACGCCTGCGCCAGCCGCTTCGTCGACAGCAGTGGCTCGGTCTCCTCGCTCGAGCCCGTGAAAACGCCCACACGCTGCGAGACGCCGACAGGTGATGAGGGCTTACCCCCTGCTGTAGCCGTATACGTGGTGTGCGACCTTATGCCGCGGTCTGACGGGGCAGCTGAAGCTCGTGATGGTGAAGTCTCGATTGCATCTGCCTTCCTTCTTGCAGACTGGTACAACTGCGACTTGAAAGTGTACTCCTCGCGCAGCATATTGAGCTGGACCTTTGCTGGGACGCTACGAACGATCGTCCAGAATGCCCAGATCAATAGCAGTGACACGTGCTCGCTCACTAGAATCATTATCATGCGCGTAGTGAGCGAGAAACAGGCGAAGTCCGGACCAAAGCGAAAGTAGGAAAAGTTGCCGCCAATTGCGTTCGTGATCTGCTTTGAACAAGAGGGCGAGTAAAACTCCATGGCACCGGTGGAGATGAAAATGAGACCGATATTGACAAGCACACCGGTGAGCGCAATGACGTGAAGAATGTTGTTCCACTCCCCGATGCCCCCAGCCTTGCGCGGCAACGGGCGCCGGTTAGTTCGGCACAACCGGAAGCCATCGCCACGGGTTTTCAGCGCATTCACAAGCATGCAAGCAGCAGGCATGAGTGGCCATAGCATCGAAAACATGACCACGAAGCCAAACTGCACCGTCATGTGATGGTAGTCATCGTACGGATCGTAGTTCTCCTGCTCGCTTTCGAACAGAATTGCGCGCACCTTTGCGTTAAGCAGCTCCACCTCATTGTCGCTATTCTCTAGGTATCGAGCTGATGACCGATTGAGAAAGTGCGCGAGTTCGTCGCGATGGCGAACCACGGGACTAGAGCCATGGTTGTCAAAGCCTTCATTTTGGTACGACATCTCGGCCAGCAGATGCCGCTCACTTTGAGCCTTTACCATGTCCATTACTTTTTGGTCTGTTCCGCGTAGTCGCTGTTCGTAGTGCTTGCGGTGAATCCAGGGAACGGCGACAGCTATCAGCAGGTTGAGTAACTGGGTGACAATGATGGGCGTGAGGAAGAGCGTTTCCAAGTCCAGGTGACTTTTGTCAAAAGTCACCCATCCACGACATGGGATGCAGCGTGATTCGATGAGCCCCATTCGATTCCATGCGGGCGGACAGGAAGTACACTGTGAACCCGAACGATCCATATACGGCCCGAAGCAGCAGTTCGCTGGATCGTCCCATATCAGTGTGTTGAGAAAGTTGGTAATCATATCTCCAGCTCCAGGAATCACATAGACGAAGGCCAGTAGGAAGAACCACGTGTAGTAGTTGAGGAAATCCATGAGGAATAACTTGCGTATCAGGGACTTCTCGAACTGCTCAATGGTTTTCCAATTTTCCCACTGTGTGAAAATGCGCGCTACTCGCGTCACGAGCACACTCCACTGGATAATGTCCACGAAGAATCCGTACAAGATGCCACCTCCTAGGATATAAAACCACTGTGCGGAGAAGATGCCTCGATCTGGATAGCGTACTTTTAACACCACAAAGGCAGTCATCCAGATTGCGATAGCGAACATCATTATGGCGATTTGTACCACCATGAAAGTGACCACGGCCAGATACGTCGGATATCTTTTCCAGCTCGGGTAGTATTGGTCAGGCAACCCCGTAACGGGATTCATACAAGCGACGCCACGGAACTTCGGGTTGCGATACACGATCGTTTGGGTTTCTATGTTATTCGCCCACAAGTAATTGAGTTCGTTTTGGCGTCGCGACCAGGCCTTGAGAACCCCGAAGCTCCACACTATTGAAATAAGCACAGCCCACCACACAAGTACGCGCATGTACATAGGCGTGCTCATGACACGGCGCAGACACGTCAACAGCACACCAAGCAACGCGATCGGCAAGAGCGACTTGTTGTAAAAATCCATGAACGCAAAATAGTACCCGACCTTGTCACCAAAATGATCTCTGACTTTTTGTAAGAACTTTCCTGACAAAAACTCCAGCTTCTGCGTTCCAATAAACGTCAGCAAGTATCGATTCGTTGCGGGGTCGTGTACGGGAAACATCGACCGCACGTTTGGGTGGTCTTCTGTGATCTTGGCCGTTTCTCGAATAACATGGTCAATGACTTGGATCCTCTCAGCTGGGGTGACAATAAGACTGCCTTGCACTACTGAGTCCACTTCACGCGAGTTGCCACAACGCAACCACGTCTGGAGTCGCAACCGTCTCCCGTAAATAGCCAACACCTCATTGTTCCCGCGGATCAGCAGCACAAAGTACTTGCTGGTCTTCTTTCCGTCAATCTTTACTCTACTAAAATCTCCTTCCAGCACGTCCACGTCCAGACCACTGGCGACTAGATTCTCGATCAACCCGGCCCCTCTTTCCGTAGCACAGTCAACTTCGTCGCCCATATCCACGTCAATCGATGCTTTAGTTTCCTTTTTCTCGAGTGAGCTCCTCCGTGTCACAATGGCAAAGTCGTAGGGAGCGCCATCCAGTTCTACCCCCTTCAAGTAGCGGTACGTGCCTGACCGAACCGAATGCATTTGTCCTGGCTGAAACGTCGTGCATGAAGTCAATGTACGCCGGTCTTCGTGACTTTCCATGCGCATCGTAGAATGGCTGTTAGCGCAGTCCTGCACGTGGTCGCCTATCGGAACGGGCGTTAACTCGGGCGTTGCATCGTCTTCCATCCCAACGCGTACCTTTTGGCGGAATGGATCTGATTCCGAAAGACTTGAACGGCATTACCGTAGTCGGTATAAACTGTCTAAAATACCGACTGTCAGTCGGGCACGCCATGTCCACCTCCCCAACGAGTACTATTGGCCAAGTGGATCGGATTCCACAGGGCTCAAAAGCCGGTACGATAACCGGTATAAACCGGCCAAAGTACCCACCTCTTTCTACCGGCACACAAAAGGTTCGCTTCAACCACGTGCTTCGAGCGGTTACTGCAGTCAGTCCACGGACGAATCGGATGTTTGTGTGAAACGAAACGAAGACTTCAGAAGTTACGACAACGCGCAGAGAACAAAGACGCGGCTCTTGAGCCAATGCCAAGCGCGAGCCAAAGCTCCTCAAAGGTAACGAGTCGGACCCTGTCGCAGATGCGTAGTAACCTAACGCGCCTCTGTGCTTGTTCTTCTTGTGTTGGCAGATGGGAGCGACCAGCGACACGGACAGCGAGTACGAGATTCTGTACCCAGGAAGCGTCGCCACGCAACAACTTCTGAGCGACAGCACGTTCTACGGCAAGTTCATGCCCGACACCGACGTGCTGTCCGACTCGCTGCTGCGTTTTTGCGGCAGCTTTCCCGTACGTGCGGCTCCGCTGATTGCGGCCTCATTGGTGCAGAGGTTCACGGACGCACGCTTCAATTGGGCGACGAAAACGTTGCAGTCGTTCTTGGAAGTCGTGTGCTGGAGCAGTGTCACGTATGCGACTTACTCGCGCTACGGTGACGTGCTCCTGGCCCTGGAAGTCGGCACGTTCGTCGGGGCGCTGATGTCGGTGTGTGACGAGGTCGGGCTGGAATTCGCGCGCGGATTAGCACGCGTCATTCGCAACCAGCCGGGAGGCGGAGATTTACTGCAACGTCTTGGTTTTGACGTACCGAAGAATGGCAAGGCGCCGACTGATGGGCAAGAGATTACGCTGATCAAGAACGTGGTGTTTGGCTACCTTGGCGTGCTGGCGGTGCGCTCATTTTGGGAGAACTTTCACGACGTCAAGTTCTTTGCACTGTTGACGGTGTGCACCGGAGTGGCCTTTGTAGTCACGGCCGAGTTCTTTTGCCTCTGGATACCGACGCGACGCGTGGGGCTGACACTACAGTCTCGATTTACGAAGGTCGCACATAACTGGCAGAACCACGGACTTCGGTCGCTCGTCGAGATGCTCTGCTGGACAGTATCGACAAGCTACTTGTACTACACATCGGACGATTGCTGGTGGTCCTTTCGGGTAGGAACACTGGTCGCGGTGGCTGCGAGTCTAAGTTCTGGACTCGACCATCTCATAGACGTTGACACCAGCTACGTTGAAGAAACCGAGTGTGGCTTTGGGGAGGAGCGAGCGTTGGATGATGACCCAATTATGGCGCTGGCAGGTCGCGTGGTGATTGCTCAACGCGCACTGAAGTCATTTGGACGTGTCGCGGAAGAAGAAGCCATGGACATGTACGAGAACTTTGCCGAGTAAACAATAAGCAGGAGCACCGAACGCCAATGCGGGAATGGGTTGTGCCACTTTCCGTCTTTGCTGAGCAGTATCGTGACACACACTGTATGTCGCCGGGGTTTTGCTGTTCTGAATACAGCACTGTCACGCCAGCCCAAGTGTTGTTTGCGACCCGAGCGTGAACCGAAACGTGCGTAGGATGTGCACAAGACGCACATGCACTAAAGTAGTGCTGTTCTCGCATTCCATGCAAAACGATACGAGCTCGTCAAGCTTCGGCCAAAGTGGCCTTTAGTACCCATACAAACGCTGCCTGTATGACAATACGGACGGTGCAATGCGACAGCACCTAAAGTATACGTGCAAAACAGTCACATCAGCGAAGACGGACACAACGTGCTGTTCTGACACTGGCCGCGCACACTCTCAGAAACGTTACCAAGTAGCCTCAACCCATAGCAGCGTCTGGTTCTTCATCGCGTGTGGCAGCTGAAACCTTTCGCGAATGTAGTGGCCAAGAATATGAACACAGTTCCGCCGCATGGTGAGGTGCGCGTTCACCCACAGTAGCAACACGTCGCGCGGTGGAGGCCACCAGCCTTGTGCGGTGGCAAATCATCGACAAGCTGTATTGCTTAGCTGCAAACGCGGTCTGATGATTGACGTTTTATGATGAACGTCGACGCAAAGTGACCATTACGACTCTCACGGTCAACGATCTCCGGATCGATACATTTGGTGTGTATTTGTCTCCGTCTACGTCGGTGTCCGATACACATGAAGTCTACAGCCATCTTGACAGCTTTCATGAATCTGATCTCGATGACGCTCTATGCAGCAATTGATAGTAGTCTCGACACGCTTCTTGATCTTGTACATCGTTAGTACAAGAAGACCAGAATTTTGTAGAATGCTTGCAACGGAGCGTGTGCGGTAAGCCTTTGTCGTCATCGCTACTGTAAGGGGCGCGACAGGATACGCATGGGGTTTTCTCACTCGGCTCTGCAAAAGATTCATGAATGTTTCACGCGTGAGAACAGCACGAAGTCGCGCTCTGCTCGCATGGGGTTTCCGATCGTGGTGCTGAGTTCTCCAGCACCACGATCGGAAACCCCATGCGAGTATTTATCCTCCACTCAAGCGGAATCAAGTCATTGTATGTTTTGTGCCCAGAGCTCTTGTTCAGGCACGTTTGCTGTACCCAGAAGTCCTTTGACGTTACCAGAGCGCGAAGTATTATTTGTAACTTGCAATGCAACGATGTCTTGGTAGGCGACGCGTAGTCAGTTCAGGACATCATGCATGACCTGCTACTTCGAGTACATTCACTTACTAATGTACTGTCTCTCAATTCACAGTACACCGCATTAGCGCTCCACACAAACGTAGACAAATCAAGCAGATGAAAGATCGAATTGCTATTCACTTGCATATTGGCTGAGTTACGAGCTGAGCACGGAGCAGCATTTCTTGTAGCTCTACGAGCGTAGAGTATTTGGTCGAAACGCCTGCTATCGAGGACAGACAGGGCTAATCATGCGGTAATCTTTTCAAGCCTGAACTAGCTAAGTCCTATCATGCAAATCGACTCTTTTTGAATTCTGGGTTATGCAAATGTGTCCATCTAGGACAACTGTCGTCGACAAGGACACCTTGGTTCATCGCACAAGATCGTACAACTGCAAAAAGTAGACCAGTTTAGACAGTACAAAAGTTAGCCCAATACGGTCAGCCCTCGAGTGGTTCCTGTACTTCGACGAAACTTCTCAGGTAGAACGATAAAAAAGTCAGGTGGAATGAGAATGGGCCCGACAGCAACGATCGGCAGACTGAGTAAACAGCGCCTTTGGTTGTGCTCAGCGCAAGCTTTTAGTGCTTTCGGTCGGTCCTACGTAACATACGCAGTACTTGCTGTTGCAAAAACGCCCTTGTATCCCACCTTGCGGCTATTCTACATTTGACTCGCTTTTCGCAAAATCCCAATATTTTGGCACGGGACTGAGCCCGATATCCCACCGTTTGCGTGTTGCATCAAGTCATGAGCGCTCAGGACGACGACGACGAAGACGTGCCTTCACAGATCCTCAAGCACGTGCTCCTCGGGTCCAGGAAGCACGCACGTAACAAGGAGCTGCTGCAGAGACTTGGCATCACGCATATTTTGAATGTGAGAATTCTGAATCCCTCATTGAATGCTCCGAGACTAATGATTGGACGGTGTAGGTGACGCCTCCGAAAAAAATGGACCCGGTGGCAGGTGTGCCTAATTTCTTCGACAAGGACAAGCTCTTTACGTATCGTCGATGCCCTATTTTCGACAACAAAGCGGAGGATATTTCAGGAGTGCTGGAAGGTTGTATTGCCTTCATCGACCAAGCAAAATACTATGGTAGCGACTTTGCGTTTGAAGCATACGTGTAGTGGAATTGTTTGCAGATACTCACAGTGCTTAAGCGCGAATGCAACGTGCGTTTCGGTGATGTGTCAATGCTGTGCAGGTCGGATTCTTGTTCATTGCAATAAAGGAGTGAGCCGCTCGTCGTCCATGGTTGTGGCGTACCTCATGAAATTGCGCTCGCTGAGCTTTGACCAGGCGTTGTCCTTCGTAGTGGAGCGCCGTCACATGGCCAATCCCAACCAGAGTTTTTGTCGGCAGTTGGAGGAGTACGGGCGATCTCTTCAGCGCAGTGTACCAAAGGAGAAAGGGGCTATTCGTGGTCCCGTGGGTCCTCAACTACCCTCTACTGCTGGAAGTGGCGAAGACGCTGCTGCGATAGGACCAAGACTTCCGCCGCACTTGTCCAGAAGTCTGGGTAAAGACAAAGTTGATGCTGATGCCGAAGCGAAGAGTGACGAGGCCACCGAGCCATGCCTGAAGCGCCAACGAGTGGGAAACAACGATCGCGGTGGAAACGCTGAGGACTGTGAGACGTGCACGAAGAAGATTCGAGTGGACAAGACTTAGCTGTTAGGAAGGTCGTTTCTAGTGACCTCAAACACACGCGTACAAATTACACACCAATTACTTTCTTAATGCAGGAATTCGGTATGCGTATTACGCATTATATATCCTTCTTCCTGGTACGTGAAGTCGTCGAAATGATGACCCTCGCCATTCTTTTTGCTAACAGGGGAGTCCACGGCTGCCATATTCTGAAACATCTCGGGCACGTTTGTAATATCGTCGACGCTGTTGACGTCAGGGACAAACGAAGGCTCTATCTCCTTCCGCAACAGCTTGTCCCAGTCGATGGCTTCAAAAAAAGGGTGGGCCATGATATCACGGCCGCCGTTCGGGCCGCCTCCAAGTCGCCTTGACGGATCGCGGTTCAGTAACTTCGAGATCAACGACCGCGCCACTGGTGAAATATGCGACGGGTATATCACCTCTGACTGCATAATATTTTTGAACATTTGCCGACGATTGCGGTCCACGAACGGTGTCCGGCCCGTCAGCATTTCAAACAATAAAATGCCGTAACTCCACCAGTCGACCACCTTACCATACGCTTGGTGACGCAGCAACTCTGGCGCCATATACTCTGCTGTACCACAAATAGTTTTCATGCCCGTGTCAGCCTGAGAGGCACGTATGGCCCCTTCCACCAACTGACCCTCCTTCGACAAGCCGAAATCGGTCAAGGAAATGTTTCCCTTGGGATCCATCAGAATATTCTCGAGCTTCAGGTCACGGTACGCAATCTGCTTGCTGTGTAGATGCATCAACGCTGTCAGCAACTGCGCCATGTACAGTCTTGTGCGGTCCTCAGAAAAACGCTTCGATTTGCGCAGGTGGTAGAACATCGAACCACCCGGGTAGTAGTCCATTATCAAATACAGCTTGTCAGCATTCTGGAAGGCGAACCGCAATCGCACCACGTACGGGTGATTGATTTCCTTCAGAATGTGCTGCTCCGCCTTAGTGTTCTCGATCTGATCGTTCTTGATAATATGCGACTTCACAAGGATTTTCATTGCATAAATTTGACCGGAATTCTTGCCATCCTTCTTGCGGACAAGAAGTACCTTGCCAAAGGCACCGCGACCAACAACCTTCAGCAGATCAAAGTCGTTGATACAAAGAGGGCGCTTTTCGGCTTCCTCTCGCTTTCGCATCGCTTCCATTCGCTGGGCGTGCTCGTCCAGCTTATCTTGGGACGGCACTTTTGCTGGACCATTGGGACTGATTTGTGGAAGCTTGTTGTGCAGCATCATTTGGAGATCGCAGCAGCCCGAACACACACGCTTTGGCTCGCTGAATCCCGGAAGGAACAAGCGGTCAGAGCACGATGTGCAAACTAGACGCAAGCACATGCGGCAGTATCGACGGCGGTGCAAGACAAAAGTAGACTTACACAGGTAGCAAAAGTTCTCACCATCTGCGCTCTGATAAGCGCGTTGTTGGGCTTCCAGTGTTGGCATGCGGTTTCCACGAATAAACGAGTCAGAACGTGCAACGAAGGTATCGTGCACCCACTCAAGTGTTAGCTCAACCTCGCCGTTTCCGTGCACCGTAGGCAACTTCTCATCACGCAAGACGAACCACCGTCGATCGGCGCGATTGAGCCCCACTTCACTCATGTTCACAACAACCTGGCCCAGAGACGTGTTCATCGGGAATGATCGGTCTTTCACCACGACGACCACCTTTGCTTCGATTGACGTGACAGGAAAAGAAAACGTTTGGTTCCACTCAGGATCCATCGTGTGCTTGTGGCTTCCCACCGTATCCTTCTTCTGCCCTGCGCATTGAACCACAGCAAACGGGTTATTGTACGGCTGGCCAGTAAGCCGTGCACGATTTACCGTCACGATAAGCTTGTTGGGAAATGTAGCGCGAATGGCGTGCAAGGACTCTTCAATCCCGTTGGCAATCGAGTGCAGGAACACAAAAGCGGATGTTTGCACAGAGTGGACCGTCCACTCGCTGTTGTTTGTCTCGCTAGAAGTGCGTCCCACCGACAGCGACGTGCATCCAAGTCGTGCCTGTGACGACTCAATCACCGTAAACATGGGCTCTGTCGAAGCCTCAAAGTTTACCGCCTTGTCGCGCAGTAGTTCTCGTAGCGCAGCAGAGTCTCCGGACGACACCTGGTGCGCTGACTCGATAAACGCGATGCCGCCAACCCGCATTTGTTCACGTGCGCTAAGCGAGGACAGAAATGTCTTCAGCAATATACCAGCATGTTCATGCACGATAAAGCTGATCTCCTGTGCCGCATTGGGCACAATGCAGTTCTTCCAGACGTACGACACGTGGGCTTCAGGGGTCGAAGAGTGCAAGACCTTGGCTCTGTGGCCGTTGACGACGCAATAGTTGGTGCTAGGGTTCAGAATCACGACACCGTATCCTCCTTGAATGGCCGTCTTCAAATACGGAATCATAGAGCCCTGGAACCCCGTCTTCGGGTGAATGGTCTTGCTCCACATGCCTGGCTGCATTCCTGTCACGCATTCACATACCCCACGACAGCACAAACATCAAGTTACCTACAACAGCCCGGCAATGACAATCAATGCAACAGCATGCGTCGATCACCTTCGCCCGGTTGCATGAACACGCAGAGTTTGGAACACGCCGTGTAGTTATGGGAGACAAAGATGCTGCAGCGCGCCTCAGCTTTGGCGTTGGGGATAAAGACCTCGCGCAGGTTCAGTTCGCTCTTGAGCTTGGCGTGGATCTGCGCCACGAGCGTCTGCATGAGCTCCTCGACGTCCTCTTCGCTCTTGAGACTCGAGTTCTTGCTACCACCTGCCAAACGGACACGAGCGATCAGATGAGGCAGCACGGAGCAGGTCGCAGGTCGCCCGCGCACCTCTGGAGCTCAGGCGCCACATTGTGCCGGGGACGAGGGGCGAGTGGGCGCGCAGCACAGACCGACAGGCAGACCGACCGACCGACCGACAGACCGACAGACAGACCGACAGGTAGACAGACAGACCGACAGACAGTCAGGTGGACGACGACGACGACGACGACGCGAAGGAAAACGGTCGTCGCGTTGTCGGGACAAGAGTTCCGTTAAGTGCGATTACGCAGTCCACTCGAAGATGCAACGGCAGTGGCACTGGCGCAAGTCGCGCGTGACCCGCGTGACGTTTCGCGGCCAGCGCGTGCACGTGAAGAGGGACGACGAGCTCCACTTGGCAGGGAACAAGGTGGACCGCTTGCTCGATTCGTTGCGGCGGCGTTGTCTCCTGACACCGCGTGGTGTGGTTGTACCGCTACGATGTCTGTCTGTGTGTGACTGTGTGTGACTGTGTGTGTTTGTGTGTGTGATTGTGTGTGGTTGTGATGTGTGGGTCAAATGGCGGGTGACTGTGTGTGGTTGTGTGGATGTTTCCAATGATGTGCGTGTGTTGCTGCCCGCAGATGCGCAAGCTGTTGTACCTCGTCAAGCAGCGCGACGCTTTCTTCGCTCACACGCACTTGTTCAGCTTTGGCGGGTCGCAAAGCAACGCCATGTTGGCGCTGGCTCAACTGGCCCATGCGCGACGCGTTCCTTTCACTTACTTTAGTCGAGACATGAGGCTCAAAGCGGATGCGGCCGATACGCTGGGAGGTAATCTGTTGATGGCCAAGGCGCTGGGGATGCACCACGTGCAGCTTGATGCAGACGCGTACCAGCGTCTGGCGCGAACTCGCGATTTTGCTGCGTTTCTGGACACGGACGTGCGTCCACCATCGGGCACGAGGAGTCTCTTTGTGCCTCAAGGAGCGGCGTTTCCCGAAGCTCAAGACGGTGTGAAGCTGCTCGCAGATGAGATCAACGAGTACGTTCAGACGCAGTGGCCGGACAAGTACTTCTCGGTCGTACTGCCCTGCGGCACGGGCGCAACTGCGCTGTACTTGGCACAGCACCTGCATGCACCGATCAAGTTGTTTGCGATTCCTTGTGTCGGCGATGCGGCGTACTTGCAGCAGCAGTTCCGGCAGCTTGTCGAACAAGACCCGTCGTTGCACGTGGAGACAGCAGTGCTGCCGTGCGTGCTGCAGCCCACGAGGAAAAGTCGCTTTGGACGGCTGTGGTGGCCGCTGTACGACACGTACCATGAAGTGCTGCAAGAGACCGGCGTGGACTTTGATCTTGTGTACGGAGCTTTTGCTTGGCATGCGCTGTTCTCAGACAAAGGTGTGCTGGATCAAGTGCTACAGCGTTGCGGTTATCCGTCAGATGTGGCTACGAGAACGGCTGAGCACAATTCCTCGGGCCATACACACGAGCGAGAGCTGCTGTACATTCACACGGGAGGCACGTCAGGCAATGCCACGATGTTAGCGAGGTATGCGCGCAAGAACAGGCCCGCGCAAAGGGCAGGATATCAATGAACAGTCGTCAAAGCGACGTATTCGATAGGAAGAAGTGGTTCGCGCGAAGCATTGGGATCGAAAGCAGCAACAAATGTGGAGCAGCCGTAGCAGGTAAAAAGCATTAGATTCGACCCGGCGACGAGTTTGGACTGTTGTGGCACACGGCATTTTGAGCGTCGATTAGTAGCAGGTCAGCGTCGACACTGTGCGTCCACTATTGGCACTTCAGCTTTCTCGAGTGCGGACATTTGTACGACGACCGGCGACCGACCGTACATTGCTTGGGTAGTCCACACCACTTTCGACCACCCTCGACTGGCGATTAACCGACGCACCTGTACGGACCGACATGGCAGAAAGCAGCGCCGCGTCGGCGGTCGTCACGGCCCCCGCGGGGCGCACCGACGCGTCTTCGTCGTTCCACGCATGGCTTCTGCAGAAACTGCGTCTCGAGTGGAGCTCGAGCGATCTCGGCGGTCTCCTGACGACTCCAAAGCTGGCGGAAGCGCGCGCGAGTTTCCCGTACTTGGAGACGCCGATTAAGGTACGCGACCCGAATGGGCACACGTACACTTGCGTGGGTCGGTATGCACGAGTGGTACCTGATGGTCATGGGCTGTTCACTGCGCATAGGTCCGTTTGTTGCTGTCGTTGCTGAGTGTCCGTCGGGACGGAGTGGACGCTGCTGATCGTACGAAGCAGAAAGAGAAGCACGCGCTACTGCTTGTGGCCGAACAGGATGCCGAAGAGTGGGTCAAGGTCAGCGCCGGCATTGTGAAGCAGTTCCTGGTACTCCAAGCCACTGGTCGCCCGTCCGACTCGTATCTACATGCGCAACTAGAGACGACGGCATCGAAAGTCATGACGGCGGTGGCTGTTTCCCCTCCGACACGTCGCAATAGTAGCGCAACGCACGTTGCCCTGGAGGACTATTTCTCGCTTGAGAATGGGCTGCTCAATCCGTCATTGCGTCCTCCACTGGCGCCGACAGTCGCCACGCACTTCACAGTGAGTGGAGAAGACGACGATGCGAACAGCAAGGATGACGAAGTGAGTGCGTCGCCCGTGAAGAAACCGCTGCATCGGCCGCAGATGGTGCGGATGCTCGGATCGTCCGGCGTGGTGTCGACTTCGACCGCTGCAACGACGTCGTCGTTGGCAAGGACGCAGGGTGCAGCAAAAACACCGGGGGGCAAGAGAAAGGATTTGACTGAGCTCTCGTCAGAGATCCGGCGGAAGGCTGATGCGGGGCGGTTTAAGCGACAGAGAAACCGTATTTCGATGATTGACATCAATGAGGTAAAGCAAATTGAATCCGAAAAGGCTCAGAAGGCGGAAGAAAGAAAGAAGCAGAAATTGGCGGCGAAGGAAAAAGAACGAGAGAAAGCAAAGGAGAAGGAGAAGGAAAAGAATGAAGCGGTGATTGCAGGGGCAACGGTCGAAACAAGCGAGAAGGGCGGAGCTGCAGATGCCGTAGCCGTGCCGGCCTATGTCAACAATGAGCACGCTGCCATCGCTGCTGATATCTTTGCGATGCACCACCAGCAACACGGCCTGGACGATTCGGTACAGCAGTACTCTCAACCGCAGCTGCAGACAGAGAGCACCATGGCACACGCAGAAGCTCCGTCAGTCACAGCTGGCGGAGACGACTACGTCCCTGATGGAACGCAGGCATTGCTGAACGCAGCTTTCCATTCCACACAGGATATTATGAAGGAGGTCGTGAGCCAGCAAAGTCACCAGATGCAGGAACAACATCAGATACAGCACCAACAATTGCAGGCGCCTGCATACCAGGACCTGTACCGGACTCAGCAACAAATGCAGATGCACCACTTGGCTCCTCCCCGGCAGCAGTATCATCAAGGGTTTGAGCCGGAGGATGCTTCAATCGCCAATACAAGTACTGGTGTAATGCCGATAGGCTTTGGAGGTTACAACTACGGCACAACTGCGGGATACTACTACGATCAATTTGGCAACTACGGCACTCCACAGGACACAAACGCGTTCGGTTCAGCAGGGTATCCTAATCCTGCTATGGGTCAGCCCGACAATGGTATGAATGGCATTGGGCTGCCTCCTCTCGGTGGCCGGCAGCTAGGTTTTGACACCACACAGCAGCAACCGCAACAACAACATCAACACCAGCAGCAAAATAATGGAGGGTATATGGGCGGGTCCGGTGAGTACTGGAGATAGGCGTTGTTGTGAACGATCTGGCAACAGCTGGGAGCAGTCGAGTGCTGCGTGGGACGGCTTTTGATGATTAGACCCAGCTGCGCCGTCAGACTCGTTGGCTTGCGTGCGTGATTTGAAGTGTGAATATAGGAGAGCCTTCCACATGTTCGTCACAATCGCTTCGTTCATACCCATCTGGAACCGACGAGCTCGACACGAAATTCACTCATCGTCGCTAGTCGAGTCATGGTCTGTAGGCCAGTACAATCGTGTAGATGTACACGTGCGTTTTCTTACGTGCAACTTGAGGAAGTGCCGCCTGTCCATGTCTAAGAAGCCAAACATGTTCGTCTGGGTACATGCATTATTGGCACGAACACGCTTTGATCCTTGAACTGTCTATCACACGAAACCCACTGATTGACCCTACACGATGACCTCACCAAAGCAGAAATAAAGATACGACGCTGTTACGGCCAGTTCCTTATTCGCTACTGAGCATGTAAGTTTGTATGATCTCCATCAGGCCAGTCGGGTTGTCAATGTGAACCCAGTGGCCAGATTTTTCAAGCAAGTGGTGGTAGACCTGGCTCTCCTGCTGTGCGTCCAGTCGGTCCATTATGTCGGTAGTCCACATTCTATTCTTTGAGGCGTGCACAAAGTGAAGCTCCACGTCCTTGCCCCTTGCTGCAGGCGGGCTGTCCACTATAGGCCATAGATCCGTTGCCAGAAAAGAGCGGAAAAGCTCCTCGATGACGTCTACATCCATTCTCCACTCGTAAAGCTCCGGACTCTTGTTAGTCAAGCGCAAGTTCGTTGTAAGCCATTGCGCTTCACCCAGCGCAATGCCATGACCTAGCAGATCCTTCACAAGTTGCGCCTTGGAACGGATGGGCAGCGCAATTTTCTTCACAACCGGCAGAATCGTCTCGATCGAGCTCGTGACGTCGCGGCTCGCATAGTCCGTTGCGCCTGATGATATGAAGCGGTCGTCAGTACAGAGCAAGTAGAGTATGTTGCGTACTGCGTGAATGCGATAAGCCCACAACGTATCTCGTACCTGTTCCTGGCAGTGAATCCAGAGCCCACACTTGGCTTGGCGGCGAGCGGTCTTGCTCCATGCACTGCTGCAGATACGTAAGCGCCACCTTCCCGCCAAACGAGTGTCCTAGCACGGCCGTGGGCTCTACTTTCAAGCTAGCGGTCAATTTGCTGCATCGTCCAAGTACAGCCATGTGCAACAAAGGTGTGTTTCAGCGATCTGCGCACAGCTACAATGCTCACGTTTTGGCTGCAAACGTACAAAATGTCCTCGACGCATGCCTCCAAGTTGTGAGGCTTTGTGAACGAAGGCGAGTCTCCGTGCCCTTGTTGAAAACAAAAACGGATTCGTTACCTCACGACACGTCGTCTGAATCGCTGCCCCCCTACGACATTCACCGTAACTCACCGCGCAGGTCCAGGCAAATAAAACGCCAGTCTGGATTCTTCTTCGTTAGACTGCACGAAATAAAGCACAAAACAACGAACGAGAAACAGTCAGCACAACGCTTCTTCCACCTTCCTTGATCCACGACCCCTTACGTTAGCGCGAAGGTGCGCCAGTTCAACTTGTTCCCTGCGTACAAAAACCGAGTCCGTCAGTCAGCCCCCCCCGCTTCGAACACCTTTGAAGCCCTACAATGTCGGCCGACGCACCCAATATACCATGCATCACAATCGCAGTCTTTTTCGCGTTGTTGAGGACGCCGGTATCTTCGAACACGCGGTAGGACAGCGTGCTCTCTTCTCGTCCAGAGAGGAAGAAGCTGCTGCTAGCAACACCGATAATGAGTACCAATTCGCGCAGCCACATAGACGAGAAACGACGAAGATACGTAAACGAATGCCACAATGGGAAATTGCAGTACCTGCGAGTGGTGGCGTTATGACGGGCGGCTCTGGCGAGTGGTCCGCTGGGAAGACCCGTAGCAAGACGACTGACAGGCATAGCGATGAAAGAGCTTTTGGAATGGAAACTTCGAGGGAGTTTTAGTCAGTTCAAATGTGGCTGCAAAATAGTTTACTTGCCCTTTTGTAGCTGCCCGATGGAAATATTGGCAGTTCTCGGATCGTTTTCCCTCTTTTTGGTCGGAGAGAAGACCTTCTGCCGAGCGAGGAGAGTCGAATGTGTCCCATTAGAGTCCATCTGATGGAAGATGCACAAAACTAAATAGTTGCGAGCGCAAATATATGGACTGCAGGATTCTGTTCTTACAAAAGTATATTTAGCATCATAAGATTAATTCCATACCGCCACACGATATATAAGATTATAAAAAAAGATCGTATACGTATAGACGGTTAGAAAGACGAAGGGTGTATACGGTACGATACGGCATACATCCTACGAATGGACACACGCGTAGGATCACGCAAAAGAAGTACACATTATCGCGCATATTCGTACAAACATCGCAGCCTTCCGAGGAAGATAGAGCATTGGCAGTGGGTTCGGTAATATCCGATTAGTCGCTAGACGCATTTACTTTTTATTGCATACTGAGTGATAAACAGGTGCAACAACACTTATAAAACCGACCCAATATGACGCGGTCATCCTCAGTAATCGATGTTACAACGAGAAACGACGCCTCTGTCGTGAACGTAGCATGCATACATGTTAGCAAATTGTGCTATGCATCTTTGACCAAGTCGCAGAACGATGCTGTCTTTCCGGGTCAATTGTCATTACGTAAGAATGTAGCCTATCCGCCTCCTGCTGTTCAGACAATACTGCGGGTTCATGTACGCCAGTATCACTTACCTCTCAGTGACCATAAGACCCCGCTCGTATTGTTGCGCACTCAACGCTAGCGATTCAATCGACGACGACAAATCGCAAACTAGCAGCTTTCATGAGAGCAGGTGTTGCCCAATAATAGGAGAAATCGTCAGCAAGTTATGTGGTGCGAACGTGATAGCAATTGTCCGTTTTGTGTTGTTTGACGCTAAACCTCGTTACAGAAGATTGTGCTAAGAGCATCGCGGTCCTATCGCTGTGAGATTGCTTTTTCGTACACACATAAATTACAAATACAGTTTGTCTTGCACTTTTGTCGAGTGTCCGAATCTGTGAGGCTTCTCAATAAGATACAACTGCGGACAGATTTCACTGCATGAAAACCATATCGGAAAAGTTAAGGATGGACAAAGGAGACGAAAGCAACGTGGCCTACAGACGACGTATATACGCGATGTCGAGGGCTACGATGAAGCTTTAAAGAACCTCTTCTGGTTTAATAGAACGGTCGGCACTAAAACTCGTACAATTTCTGAGTTATGGAATAACGGTTAAAAAAGATAAAGCTCGTAGAGCCGTTCAATTATCTGAAAGCACGTGTGTATCCGAACATAAAGAATGCCCCTTGTTGCTCATATTTATTCCTTGATCGTTTGGTATGTTGACATTTTTGCTATTGTCATGAGAAATTATGGATTGCTAATGTGACCCATTTGAATTGGCCTCAACAATCATGTTTGATCACGTGCCGCGATGATCTTGAATGTGTATTACGAACCCTTTTGTCTTACTTGTCCATATGTATCATTATCGTAGCCGATCGTATTCATCAAATAACATTTGTAAATGATATCGGCAAATTGCACCTTCAATTCTACCGAGCAAATTAAACACTGTACTCCCTAATTTTCCTAGACGTAATGAATAATTTACTATCCGATAGAGAGCATTAGAAGTAGTATCCACATGGTCGGTGGGCACGAATGTACATCAATGCAAGCAGCTATAACCAAAGCTTTATATAATTACATCCGTAACTATTTTGTAACGAGTGTTCTTTTCCGACTCGACCACGCAATTCTTGCTCACTCAGATAGACGCTTACTTATTGCACTCAAAGTGCTCATGATTCTGTGCTGACTTGTTCATATATAGTACAATCGTTTTTAAAGGTTATATCCAGTAAATTGAAATGGTGACTTCGCATTGACATACTGCTGAGATAGACTCAAAGAAAATCTTAATCGTTCTATCACAGCGATAATAACTTAGCATTTCTTGATGACGATCAAAAACTTATTGTTTTAAAAAGTGGTTCATTTCAGATGCTGCAACATGGACGAAATTTTTTTATGGTGGAGTGGGTTCTCGAAAATGTGTGATGAGCCCCCACACCACTCACTGTACCGGACTGACGACTTGTGGATGGATACTTCGAAGCCGCGTACGGACCTTGACTCACCTTGTGCATCCATCGGCTGGCGGGTTGCACGCTTCAGTAGACGTATGGGAATGTAAATCTTGGTCTTTACCGGACTTGTAGGACCCCAAGTGGATATGCTTCACTTGATGCTCCAGTAGGCGGCCTCTCGATCGACTCGGTCAATAGTGGACTTATAACTACATCTTTAGACATCGTGTCGCTCCTGGACTTCTCCTCGTTGTTCCAGGGGTATGAAATCAATGGATTTTGCTCATCGCCCTGATGACGTAGTGAGAAGTTTGCTTCCAAAGGCAGATCTTGGGGGTTTGCTACTCGACAAGCACACGGTTGCCCGTCTGTTCCCGACGTAGATATAACGAATCAAGAGTAATAGTCATGTTACAGTTCGATGTGATGGTTCGATTGAGCCAAGTGCATCACCACACAGTTGATCGTCTGTTTCCAACGCAGATATAGGAGGAATTCGACAGTAAGATCGATAGCATGTATTCGATAGGCTCTCATTCGAGCCAAGCGGGTTACGTGACAGTTGGTCGTCTGTTCCCAATGAAGGAAGAAAAAGACGAGAATCGGACGGTTGCTCGTCTGTGTCCGACGTAGGAGGAAAAAGTCGAGGATCGGACAGTTGGTAGTCGGTTCGTAATGCATATAAAGGAATTCGAGAGTAAGCTCGAAGAGGTTTATTTTTTAACTTTCGTTGAACCAAGTGCGCGACACGACGCTTGATCGCCTCGTGAAGGTTTAGTAGTATAGCAAAGCGTGATCGGATTCCTTGGGCTTCGTCCATCGTCTCATTTCTCTCGACCAAAACCGTTCTAGCGTCAAATATGCTTTTTAATTCTCCATCCCTAAAGTAGTTCCAACATGTTCGAAGGAAAGCGAACGAGTGGTGCCAATGAGAGATTGCGATCCAACATCTGCCAGGGCAGCATCGAGAGCTCGTGCGACAGACGTTGATGGTCGTGCGCGCTGACAACCGTAAGAAGCGCAATTATGACAAACGTCTTCTTATGACGTACAAGATGGGGTTAGAGCGCATCCAGAATGGCGAAGACATAGCAGGTGTCACTGATCGAATCCATCACGAGGACCTTCCGCGCACGTTGCGATCATACATATCGAGAGTGGGTGGTCTCAGTGACGACACGGGTAATTCTGATGCTGGATGTGTTGTTCAGGTGATTCCGAAAGTAATGCTGTTTGTGTAATAAGGTGAAGTCGAAGATGACGCTGATACTGCTCATGTCGCCGTCGAAGACGCCGATCGTAGTGCTGATCGTGATGCTAGAAGGGACGCCGAACGATTCACCGAGGTTGGCGCGGATCCCAATACCGCTCGTGGCTTTGGTTTTTGGTTCCGAAGGTGGAAGTGCAGATGATGCAGGCAACACAGCGCGTTCCACTATTTGCGATGCCCAGTGTGGCGTTACAAGTGACGCTGAAGATGCTGAGGCTCGTGCCACTGATCGTGATGGTAAAGATGTAGTCGATTATATTATATTGCCAAAGGTGACGCTGCTCGTGATAACTAGTCGTGATGCATGTTTTTACGCCTGTTTGGTGGTGCTTCGGATGCCACAGGTGGCATCAAAGGTCATGCTGAAGGTGAGACCAAGCGTGACGTTAAAGGTCACGTCAAACGTGAAGTCAAAGATGAGGCCAAAGGTAATGTCAAGCGTGAAGTCAAAGGTGAGGCCAGATGCGACGTCAAAGATGAGTTCCAACATGGTACCCGTAAGCGAATCCAAAACCAAGTTGTGTTTGCGCGGGACCCATTAAACACTCATTCGAAGAAATCTCGCTCGGAATTATATGTAGTCTCCGTGAAAGCAAAGCAAGGGCTTTCATTCAAACATTGGGAGCTTGTACGGCAAGCATTGGTGGTCGTCCGGGCGGAAAAGCGTCCGAATCGATCGACGATGAAAAAATACATGTTGTTCAATCCGCATACACGGTTTCATCGTATTTCGGCCAGGTGAAGCATTGAGCCATGACGTCAAAGATGTTACCGCTCGAGATTTTGCTTCTGATCTCGCTGTAAATTTGCTCGTGGTGCCAAATTGCGTCGAAGGTGATGCCGAAGGTGACATCAAAAGTGCTGCCGAGACGTTGAATAACGTCAAAGGTCATGCACACGGTGGTACTATTTGGGATACTTCTGGTAATGTCAGAGGGGTTGTCCGCGGTAATGCCGAGGTGTGCCGGAATGGATGTCCAAGGTCGATGGAAGTGGACGCCGCTCGCAATACTGCCCGTATGTCAAAGGTTTTGTCGACCATAACGCCAAGATGGACGTCGAAGGTGACGCCAATTGAATTTCTTCCCGTGATCCACTCTAATCTGTAGATGGTGCCGAAGGTAACGAAAAGGTGACGCCGCTTGTGATCTTTCTCGTGATGTCAACGATATTGTCCAAGGTGGCGTTGTAGGTGATGCTAATGTACCAGTCGAAGTTGGTAATCAAGGTGGCACCAATCGTGACTCTTCTCATGATGTCGAAGATATCGTCGAAGCTACGTCGCACGGATGCCTGGATGGACAATGAAAGCAGTGACCAAGGTGACGATAGTCGCGATCCTGCTCATCATGTCGAAGATGTTGTCGAAGAGTACGTCGAACGAATGCCGGGACGGACGATGAAGTTGATGGTCAAGGTGATGCTGGTAGCGATCTTGCTTGTAATGTCATAGATGTTGTCGATGGTGTTGACAAAGGTGTTGTCGAAGGTGTTGCAACAGGTGTTGTCAACGGTGATGATCAAGGTGACGTCGTAGCTCGTGAACTTGTTCGTGATGTCGAAGGCGTTTTCAAAGATGATGTCGTAGGTGACGATTGAGGTGACGCTGATCGTGAAAGCGCTAGTGAACGCGATTATGAGTCACCTCCAGCACGTTCGAACAAGTGGGACCGGACCAGATAGAAACGCGGCAGGTGATGAGTATACACAAGCATCAACAAGGACACTGGAAGCAGGCATAACTGAGCAATAGCAGCGGCGACAGCAACAGCATCCATGGGTGTGCCCTGTCATCCGAACTGCAACCGGACGACTCAAAAGGTGTCCACCCAAACTTGTCTCAAGTCAAGGTTCGAGTCGGATCAGTACGACTGGTCGCGTGGTCCGTACAGATAGGAGCAAATGTGTCGATGAGTCAAGTTGCTGCGAACACTCGTGGACGGCAGGTAGTCAATTGATTGATCCTTTTCTTCATCTGAGCAACAACACGTAGCTCCGACGTGCGTTCTCCTCGATCTGTTGCCTTCTTTCCTCGTCTCGCAGTGTCCTGACCAGACTAACTCGAGACCATTCCTCGTCCAATCGTGTAACGCAAGACATACTGCAGCACGAAAGAAATATAGCGACAACCGAAGACGTAGAGCATCTGGCGTCGGCGCGTTACCCTCAGGGGAATGAAGACTCGATCTAACACAATTCACAACAAAAGAAGGCGGTGTAAAACAATTGCCGGCCACGGGGCTGTCTGTGAGTCACAACCAATTGTAAAAGCGTGTGCTCACCTCGTTCGTCTGCATCCAGGCGTCCCACGTACTACTGAGGATACATCGCAGGTTATGGCTTCATTGACGAAGTGCTTGACACCAACGTACAACTTGAAGGCGTGGTAAGTATAGTCCAAAGGCTGTGCATGTCGGAGCGAGAGCAGATTCGCCAGTTTGCCCGTCTGTGTGTACCATAGCCGAGAGATCCACGAGCGAGAACGACAGCGAGACTACCATTGAGGTCGTTGTGTCCAATGCACAGCAAGCGGGATCCAAGCACCTGCACAAGGGACATACCAGACGAGTGTTCATACATGGCCCATTACACAACAGCCACGATCGAATGCAGCACACGCGACCCCGGCACTTCCAGCAGCATGCTTGGACTTGGTCCAGGTGGCACTACATGCATAGAGGTCATGCATCCGCAAGAATGGCACAGCGATCGAGACAAAGACAGCACGGCGAGGTGGATACACTCATCGCAGAACTTGCCCGGGCACATAGCACAAGTCCGTTGGACCCAAACTTTTGCAAGACATGCGCGTTGGTATTACCTTCGTGTTTTGTTGCTGATTCGCTAACAAAGCCAAACACACTGCCAGCCACATCGGCAATCGCTTCTGTTTGCTTCGAAGCGCGTGACGAGTCCTCATTACGCCACCAATTCGCGGTACACTGACGCCACAAACAATGTGTGCAGCCTACTCTCGCGAAACGAAGAGCGGGCCGAACACGAGCACTGTCGTCGACAACAGCTTAATGACAACATGCAGCGCCGGACCAGCTGTGTCTTTGAACGGATCACCCACAGTGTCGCCAGTAACTGCGGCTTTGTGGGTCTCGCTGCCTTTGCCCCCAAAGTTGCCGAGCTCAACGTACCTGTAAAAAGCCACAGACCGTGAGTATATAATGTAGCACGAAACGTACAATCACTCGCTCGACGTACTTCTTTGCATTGTCCCACGCCCCACCCACGTTATCGAGAAACAGGGCCATCATAATGCCCGTCACTGTACCAAACATGAGATACCCAGCGAGAACCTCAGCCCCGAGCAGCGGCTTGCCTTGGTACTCGCCAATCTACATCCATGAAAGTCGGAACAGACACACGCGTTAGCATGCCACTTCTTACAATCACCTCATCGCCCCAAACGAACATACCGCACGGAAAACGATCCCTACAGCGATGGGCATAAGCACAGCCAATAGACCAGGAAAGCGCATCTGCTTTAGGGCAGCCTTGGTGACAAGAGCGACGCATGCGCGGTAATCGGGCTTCTCTTTGTACTCCATGATGCCCGGGTAGATCTCAAACTGGTGGCGCACCTCGTTCACTACCTCTCCGGCGGTCTCACCCACAGCTGCAACGGCTAGACCGGTGAAGAAGAATACCATCATCGTACCGAGCAGACCGCCGACCAGAACCTCGACTGTAGCAATGTCCACTGTCTTGAACTCGCGTCCAGCAAACTCCGAGAACTCATCCATAAAAGCGCCGAACAACACAAAACACGCTAGCGCAGCCGACCCAATCGAGTATCCCTTCGTAATCGCTTTCGTGACATTACCAGCGGCGTCCAACTTGTCCGTAGCGTCACGGACGTAGTCCGGCTGACGGCTCATCTCGGCAATGCCTCCTGCGTTATCCGCGATAGGACCGTAATTGTTCATAGCTAGCACAAACACCGCCGACGAAAGCATACCCATGGTTGCCACTGCTGTTCCAAACAATCCAGCGTGGCGGTTCCCCTGGCCGCCAATACCAGAGCTCGCACCCAAGTGGTAAGCCGAAATGACAGCGACGCAAACCATGAGAGTCGGCACAACAGTCGACTTCATGCCAACAGCTACACCAGTGATAATATTAGTGCCATGACCTGTGGTGCTCGCTTTCGCAATGCTGCGCACGGGCGGGTAAGCATAGTCGGTGTAATACTGCGTTGACTTGACAAACACGTAGGCCGTGAGCATACCGACAACACCGCACAGGTAGAAATTCATCCATGCCGTGGGGCACTCGGGTGTGTAAAGCAGCCAACGCGTTGTGAAGCCGAAGCCTACGAACGCTAGCGCAAGGGACACATCGTAACCCGTCTGCAACGTAGCCATCGGACTGTGATCGGGGCGCGAAGCTTCAACATCCGTGGGAGCTCTCACCATCAAAATACCGGCACTACTGACGACAATGTCAAAGGCGTGCACAACGACCGGGAAGAAAACAAAAGCGACAGGATACGGCAGCTGCGCTTCACGTGCCAACGTGCCTCCCAGAATCATCGCACCAATGATCTCAGCAGCTACGGACTCAAACACATCGGCACTGCTCCCGACACAATCGCCGACCATATCGCCCACAAGATCAGCAATCACTGCCGGGTTGCGTGGGTCATCTTCTGGAATGCCTACTTCAATTTTGCCCACTAAATCCGCGCCAACGTCCGCTGCTTTGGTGTAAATCCCTCCGCCCAGCTGCATAAACAGCGCGACAAACGACGCGCCAAAGCCGTACCCCACCATCAACAGCGGCACTTCAGTTGGCTGCACCAACGACCCAAACAGCACGTACAGCAGCACGTACAGCGTGGTCACGCCGCCTACACAGAGCGTAATGTCCAGCACGGCGGAGAACGCTCCACCGCGAAAGCACACGAGCAGTGCCTCGCCATACGACCGACGAGCAGCACTTGCGACTCGAACGTTCGCTCGGGCCGAGACCCACATGCTCACGTAGCCCGCTGCAGCCGAGCACAGCGCTCCAAGGAGAAACGCCACGGACGCGACAATGCCCAGCGTGACATTGCCGAGCGCTTCGACGCCCGAGCTCAGGGAGCTGCGTGGCCGCAGTGCGTAGCTAAAGAAGATCAACGCTGCAATGGCCACAGCAATCCGAGCAATTGCGGTGTACTGAATCTTCAAGAACCCTTGCGCGCCTTGACGGATCGGCGTCGCCACTTGCTTCATCTCGAGACTGCCGGCGTCTTGTGACAGGACATAGTGCGACAGGTACAGCGCGAACACGGCGCCGTAGCCACAGATGGTCCAGACGAGGCACACGGGGCGGAAGCGGCCGCCAACGACGAGCGAGAGCGCGCCCAGTGCGGAGATTGCAGCGACCGCAGGCTGCAGACGGAGCGGTCGGGCGTACGCCAGTGCTGCCGACGCGCCTGAACGCGTTTCCTCGCCATCGCGCGCCCCGCTGCGGGTCAGTGGCGCAGTGTCCGACACGCCAACTTCAACGTCCAGAGGCGGCAGGAGCTCGTGCATCGTAGACGCGGTGCAACGAAGATGGGCGGGTTTGTATGCGTTTTCAGAGGGAGCCGTGGCACGAGGGCGGCACTCGCGCGAGGGAGTTTATGCCCACACCGACCCACTGCACCGACAATGTGACGGCCGTCTTTGCATCCAATCACAATCGTGAGACGATTGTGTAGCCATTTCGGGGCCCCCACCCCATTCGACCAACCGCAAGTGCAACCGACAGTCACTCTTGAAGTTGCTGTCTCCCGCACAAGGGCAACCGACCATCACTCTCGCCATGGGGCCACTTGCTGCAACGCGACGGGGCCTGACGCGCGCCCGTTCCGTTTGCGGCCGACCGGTCGCGCGCGGACTGCGCGGCGGTCGGACGACGTCGTCGCTCGCGCCACTGACGCAGCTGTCGGAGGAGGAGACGATGTTCCAAGAGACCGTCGCGAAGTTTGCCGCTGACGTTGTCGCGCCGCATGTCCGTGCGATGGACATGGCGGGCGAAATGGACCACTCGATCACGCGCGGTCTGTTTGCGAACGGACTGCTGGCGGTCGAGATCCCCGCAGAGTGGGGAGGCAGCGAGGCGTCGTTCATGAGCCTGTGCTTGACGATTGAAGAGCTGTCGAAGGTCGACCCTGTGGTGGGGCTGCTCGTGGACCTGCAGAACACTGTCGTGAACAATGTGTTTCTGGTGCGGAGATAGACGAGAGGAGAGAGAGATGGGGGGGAGAGAGAGATGGGGGGAGGCAGGGCGTTGTGTGTTTTGATGGCGTTGCTGACGTTGTTGTTGATGTTGTTGTGGTGTGGTGTGGTGTCGTGTAGATGCACGGCACAGAGGCGCAAAAGGAAAAGTACCTGCCGCGATTGAGTACCGACATGGTACGATTGGGGCAGCTGACGGATGACGAGGTGCTGTTGCTCTGACTGACAAGAGGACGGGTGTGGTGTTGTGTGCTTTTATAGATTGGGAGTTTCTGTCTGACAGAGGCGGGGTCTGGAAGCGACGCGTTTGCGCTCAAGACAAAGGCGCAAGCGTCGGCTGACAAGAGCTACTACACGATCACGGGACAAAAGATGTGGATCTCGAACGCAGAGTACGCCGGCGTGTACTTGGTGTTTGCGAACGTGAACCTGTCGGAAGGCTACAAGGGCATCACGTGCTTCATTGTCGACCGAGGCATGGAAGGACTTGAGATTGGCAAGCCCGAGGAAAAGCTGGGCATCCGCGCGTCGTCGACGTGTCCGGTCACGCTCACAGACGTGAAAGTGCCAGCGGAAAACATCTTGGGGGAGCTCGGCAAGGGCTATAAGATTGCAATCAGCACGTTGAACGAAGGCCGCATTGGCATTGCGTCCCAGATGCTGGGCCTGGCACAAGGAGTGTACGACCAGACGCTTCCGTATTTGTTCGAGCGGCACCAGTTCGGAACGGCAATCGGAGAGTTCCAGGCGATGCAGCACCAGTACGCGGAAGCTGCACTGGACATTGAGACGACGCGGTTGCTCGTGTACAACGCTGCCCGTCTGAAGGACGCTGGTCTTCCGTTTGTCAAACAGGCTGCAATGGCGAAGCTTCATGCGTCACGCGTCGCTGAGAAGACGGCGTCGAAATGCATTGAGATGCTTGGTGGCATTGGTTTCTCCAAGCACTTGCTCGCGGAGAAGTTTTACCGCGATGCGAAGATTGGATCCATCTACGAGGGCACGAGCAACATGCAGCTCACTACGATTGCAAAGCTTGTCGCAGAAGAGTATCGGAAATGACGAAGGGGGGATAGCAAGTGCGGTGCAATATATGTGAAGAGATTTGAGGCGTTCTGTTGAGACGGCATTGCGACGAAGGACGAGCGGTGTTGTTTAGCGCGCCGCGCATTGAGCTGTTGAGCTGGGTATGCAGTCATTCAGCAGCGTCCTGTCGTCTATTGATAGCTCGACAGCTCCAATGATGCACAATAAACTGCTACAGATATGCAATTGTGGAGCATAGGCGACAACTTATGCTCATCCTTCCGCTGCCACACTGGTGCGAATTGGTTGTGCAAGTGAGCGTCTATCGTCCGTAAACTGTCTTGAGCAAGTGACAGCACAGCAGTGTATCGACCTGCCTGCAGCAGTGACTTGCATACCGGTATTCGCGTATTACTTACGCTTGTTTCGGCATCATTCTCTACCCTAATTCGCATAAATAGCAGGGGCTGTCATGACATTTGCTTCTTTGTTCTTCGGCCGAGTTGTAAATGCGCGCCAGAACTTCCTCGAGCGTTACTACTTTCGCAGCCCGTTTCGAGGAAAACGAATAAGGTCCGGTAAAATAGAATAGAGTGCTGCGACAGCACAAATGGTTTACCGAAACGGGTTTCTCGGCGACTGCGTCGTAACACAGCGAGCCAAAAGTAAAACGAACGAAAGCTACCACATGTTCCAGATGTAACTCGCCAAATTTTGCACGCGTGCTCGAAACGGCAGAACACTACGACTCCGATGCTTTCGCAATGAAACACCGAGAGCCTTCTTCGATGTTCGGGGCAGTCTGGAGTCGACGTTGCGTTGCACCTCTCTATTAACGGCCACTTTGGATGGTAATGATGGCGTTTGTAGGTATGTACTTTGACGCGTTTATCAAGAAGTGGGTAGTTCGCATGCTAGCCTGATCGTTACTCTTGTCAATGTGTCGGCTGAATGGGGTCACGTAAGACGTAGAGACTCGGTCTTGATCGACAAATCTGTCAATCCAACTTGCGTCGACCAGCCTCTCCTTGTTTTGGCTTTTCCAGCGACAAGCAAGTATCCTCTCTGACCATACGCTCTGTCTCGTTCTGTTAACCATCAAGTGAAAACGGTAGACGACGCAACATTTCCTAGCGCGCTAGCATCTTCACGACAGCTGATGATCAGCGTAGCGAATCAGCCGATGACCGACCTCATGTGTATCGCCTCATCTGAATAGATTAACATCAGTTTGTTGATCTTGCTGTCGGCCATCTCAATACTTGCTATTGCCATAGAAATTCGGACGCCACTAAAGCTCGTTACGTTTCCGTTGTCACCCTCGTAAAACTGACGAAAATGGTAGCGCCAAGTCTTCGTAACTTCCCCAGCGATCACACGATCATTTTGTCTTCGTCCATGCATAAGGCCGCAGCATCATCGCAGTGCACGCGTTGCTGCTTCAATGAGGCAATAAGTTATACTTTCGGTCGTAGAGAGTGTTTGTTTTCTGTCGGGCGAACGTCGAGCTACAAGTTCGACCGAGTTTAGGGCTGCCGTAAAGTGATTTCAATAAGTTGCCATAAACGCCATCGACCGACAATTGTAAATGAGAAATGAGCGACGGAGAGTGTCATATTTCTACTCCTGAGTCCTATTTTTGAAGCTGCAAATTCTGGTCATCGGCCTGATCTGCGGTCTAGCTACAGGTCGGACGGATCAAATTTTGAGTCAAAGGTTACAAATCAGCACAAAAACACCACAGGAAGCAATCTGTAGCACAAAGTGATCGTCGGGGTCTTTCGTCGCACTTTTCGAGCAGTAAACACGACTGCAAAATGTCTTCGAATAGCGACCCGTTCTATACCACCGAGTACAGACATACCCGAAACGGTTCCAAACGGCATCAAACGTCAAATATAACTACGCATAGCAACTTGTTCGCCTCCAAGTGACCTCGAACGACAGACATCACGTGATCTCTACACAGACATCTCCATCTTAATCGATCCGTACGGGTGATAATCGCGTACCTCCAGATCCTCATACGTAAACTCGTCAATGCTCGCGGTCTTCTCTGGGTTCACGTGTAACGTCGGGAACGGGCGCGGCACACGCGCCATCTGCGTCTGCAGCGGCTCCACGTGGTTGAGGTACACGTGGGCGTCGCCAATAACGTGAATCAACTCGCCAGGCTTCAGTCCTGCCACCTGCGCCACCAAGCGCGTGAGCAGCGCGTAGCTGGCGATATTGAACGGCACACCGAGCCCCATGTCAGCCGACCGCTGGTACATCTGGCACGATACTTCTCCGTCGGCCACGTAAAACTGGCAGAACATGTGGCACGGCGGTAACGCCATTTCGTCGAGGTCGGCGGGATTCCAGGCCGATAGCACGATCCGGCGATCCGAGGGGTTCGTCCGGAGCTTGTGGATCACCTCGGCCAGCTGGTCGACGCCTTGGCCAGTATAGTCGGCATGCATGTCCGTGTACTTTGCACCAAAGTGACGCCACTGGAACCCATACACTGGCCCAAGATCGCCCTCTTCGCGTGACTGTAGGCCTCTGCTGTCCAGGTACTCGCGCGATCCGTTGCCGTCCCAGATGTGAACACCTTTTTGCTGCAGCGTGTGCGCGTTCGTGTCCCCCTTGATGAACCACAGCAGCTCCTCCGCCACCCCTCGCCAAAACACGCGCTTCGTCGTCAGCAGTGGAAACGTATTGTTCCTCAGACTGAACCGCATCTGCGCGCCAAACACGGACAACGTCCCTGTGCCCGTTCGGTCTGTCCGCTGCACTCCTTCGCTCAAGATCTTTCGGATCAGATCCAGATACTGCAGCTCTTCGTGCGGCTGCGTGTGGTCCACGACACTCAGCGTCTCGACACTCATATCCGCTTCAATTCCATCGGTCCGTCGCCACTCTTCGAACTGAAACGCGACGTCGTTCTCCTGCTGAATCTCCGACTCGCTCGTCACACTGAATTTCTGCTCGAGCTGATCCAATGGAAAGAACGCGTCGCACTCGAACGCGCCCTTGACCCGCGTCAGAAACACGGTCTTGCACCCGCTATACGACAGCGCCTCTGCGTACACAGCGCCTCCGCCAATGACAAACACCTGGTCCACCTTCTCGCCTTGCAGCGCCACAAGCGCCAGCGCTTCGCTGAGACTCGCCGCAACGCCCACCCGATCGGGAACGTTCGCTCTCGACCTGTAGCGCACGTCGCGCGTCAGTATCACGTTGTATCGCTTGGGCAGAGGCCGCACCGACGCCGGCAGCGCCTCCCACGTCTTACGGCCCATAATCACTGCGTTCTGTTGCGTCAGTGGGTCCCGGCACGCCGTCGTGCGCGTGCGAAAGTGCCGCATGTCGGTCGGAAGACGCCACGGGATCGTCTGCTGCTGTCCGATGCCGCCAGTGGTCTCGAGCGCCGCTACGATCACTGAGAGCGCGCGCGGAGCCATTGCAGGCGGCGAGTGGTCGCGGAGCTCCTCGAGGCTGCGGCTGATATGTAGTGTGTACCACGTTAGATAGCGCTATTCGTCCGACCTGTGCGGTTTATGCACTTGAAAGTGGGAGGGACGTTAGGGGATCCACACGGAAGCCGTGACGTGTGCAAATCGGACCGGGACCACTTGTAGCCTACGAAAATACGTCTATCTATCTATCTATCTATCTATCTATCTATCTATCTATCTATCTATTCTGTCTATCTATCTATCTGTCTATCTGTCTGTCTATCTGCCTGTCTGTCTGTCTGTCAGTGTGTGTATTTTATATACAAAAAGTAGCAGCAGCAGCAGCAGCAGTTGGACAACAGTGCGGGTACGCCTCTTGTCCTCGACTTGTTTGAATCCACTTCTGCGTACAACGCCTCCAACAGCAACGGCGGTAGCAATTGTAGTAGCAGTAGTCGATGTCCACGTGTTTCATACATTGACAGGGAGTTTCACCCCCACCATCCCGTTCACTTCACAGTCATCGCGACGGACTCGTCGAGACAAAAAAGCATACAAAAAAGCATACAAAACACAAACAAAGCGACGGAAAGCAACGCCGTTGCTCACGCAATGCCGACGAGCGACCGACTGGACACGGCCCGTTGTGTGTCGCTCCTGCTGAGCTCACTTTGGTCGCGGGCGTTACGTAACGGAGTGGCACTTTCGCTGCGGCAGATGGGCGCGTGGGGGCATTTGGACGTTTTTGGGCACACGCGAACGCAGCGCAGGCCCCGGCAGACGGGGCACGTGCAACGCCAAAAGCGACAGGGGGTTTCGCCGTCGTTTCAGGTCGCTCGACTGCACGTAGCGCAAAAGAGAGAGAGAGAGAGAGAGGACGAGCGACACGCAACGGCCGACCGTTGCGAAAAAGTTGCTCTCTCCCGAGCATACAAACTTTAAGAGACGGCGGCCCCGCGGCCTTTCGTCGCGACCAACGGGCCCTCTCTCGCGCGCCCCCCCGCGTGGTCAATGCGCGCTGCTGATTGGCTGAAAAGCGACTGCACCCGCGAAAAGGGTCGCGGCCCGATGATCTTGAAGGGCCGCAGCGCGTCGAGGGTTGGGACGCGGCATAACCCCAACTGCTCTGCCCCTCTCAAGCCCACCAACGCCCACAACAGCCACAGCCACAGCTGCAGCCAACTACAGCCACAGTACACCAGCAACGACCGTCTGTCTGTCTGTCTGTTTGTCGGTCTATTGACTCGTACAGAAGAAAAGAAGAAGAGCGACTGATTGACTGACTGACCGACGACGAGCGCATGAACCGGTCGATGGATCTCATGGAGTTTGACGACAGCAGAGACGCGTGTGGGATGTTACTGCACCACACTGGGGATGTGCCGCTCCTGTCGGGCGTAGCGCACCATGTCGACGTACGTTGTTGCCCTTCGCGCTCTCTCTCTCTCTCTCTCTCTCCGCTCTCTCGTTTTCCCTCATGGAGAATATTCAGGGGATGGCTACTCCCAAGTGGAATACAACCCATAAAGGAGTGCCACTCCAACCGTCACGCCCCTACCCCTAGTCTCGTCCAAACTTGATCCTCACCCGTTGCTCTGTGTGTCGTCTGTGTGTTGTTCCAGTTGAGTTACCTTCGCGCAACCGCCACGCCCCCGCCGACCGCCTCGGACCCCGCCAGCAGCAGCAGCAGTCCGAGTCCCAGCAGCAGCAAATACGGCGGCAGTCCCGAGGACTCGTTCGGCGAAGATGAGCTCGAAGACCGACCGGTTGCTGCTGCTCCCTACTGCTGCTACTGCTACCGCTACTGCTACCGCCGCAGCGGCAGCGCTCGAGTCCAGTGGACGGCGCAAGTCGGACTCGAACAGCAAACGCCCGTGGACGCGCGAGGAGAACGAGAAGCTCATGCAGCTCGTCAAGCAGTACGGGGCCAAGCGCTGGTCGCTCATTGCCATGCACCTGCCGGGCCGCGTGGGCAAACAGTGCCGCGAGCGGTGGCACAACCACTTGAACCCTCTGGTGCGCAAAGACGCGTGGACGGCCGAAGAAGATTACGTGATCTTTGAGTGCCACAAGAACGTGGGCAACCAGTGGGCCGAGATCTCCAAGATGCTGCCTGGCCGGACGGACAATGCCATCAAGAACAGGTACTACTCGACCATGCGGCGCATGCAGCGCCAGTCGATGCGCAAGAAAGGGCCGATGCGCGAAGGCAAGAGCATCCGCGTCGCGTCGCTCACGTCGTCGCCAGTGCAGCTGCACCAAGTGAGTCCTGCGCCGCTGCAGCGGACGATGGACGGCCTGCAGCGGCGCTTGTCGCCGCTCGAGCAACTGGCCCAGCAACAACGTGGGGTGAGTGACTGTGATGGACTGTGAGGATGGATGCGTCGGAGCTCGGTGGGCCACGAACGTAGCTGGAAATGCTTGGAGCTGGAGGTTGACAAGTTGCAGACGCTGACGCTGTTTGTTGTGATCTTGTGGTTGGCTCGTGCTGCAGATGGACAGCAACTGCTTGAACGACTTTGACCGCTCGAACCTTCTGGGCACTCCGCTACGACAGGCGTCGGCGGTGTACCCGATGAACGGAGGCAGCTACTTGAACATATTGAACCAGGAGTACAGTCGCCCCATGTCGATGCCGTCGTCTTCGTGCTCAACCGCCGAGGACATTGCACCGAACAGTCAGAACAACGAGACGTTCGACTACGTCCCGATGCAGACGTCCATCCAGCGCCTGCGGTCATCGAGTTCCGAGTCGGCTGTGATGGGCACGCCTCCTCCCTCGTCGACAATGGGCATGATGAACTCGCCCTATGGCTCGCCGGCAAGCCATATGCACCAGTACCAGCAGCAACCGAGCAACTACATGATGTCGGGCAACCTGTACTCGAACAACAACGTGCGCGGTGGGATGTACGTGGGACCAACTGGCGCCGACTCTGCTCAGCAGTATCGACTTGCCGATGCGCCTGTTGGGACTCTGTCGCACAAGCGCCTGCTCGATGTCCAGAGTGCGCAGCGGGACATGTGGAAGAACGATAGTCCAGTGTCGGTATCGGCCCCGATCTACCGCACTACGTCTGTCTCGCAGCACTTCCAGCCGGGCCACGTGAACGAGCCGATGGACCTGCAGCAGTCGAAGTCGGTCCCTGTTCCCTTGTACCGACAAGCGCCGAGCAACAGCCACTTTACGAACATGGAGCAAGTGTGGACGGACGACGCCTACTTGTGATTGACCGCTCGGCGTCCACCTGCCCACTTGTCCTACCTGGACAGGGTCAGGCAGTGCCCCTCCTCCTGTGTTGTATGGTTTGCTGCCACCGATAGACTACTACTGCATCGTGCATTTCTTAAAGTTATTATTCCGCGGGAACTACTTAGCCATTTCTCTGGTCTTCTGACCCTTATAACCACAAAGTATCGCGACATTGGACATGAACACTCGAGCTCAGCTATTCCTTTGCTGCACATATGTGCGTACTTCACCTACTTCATGTGCTGCAGTATCGGCACGAGCGTCTCTTTGGTCTCTTTTGTTGAGCTGCTGCACCTATTTACTTACCGCACATGGCGAGTGAGCTGCTTCGACAATAGCGTGCTGCCTTCTGGTCGACTGTTGGGACCGCGCGTGACTTCGCTACCTGATGTGCTTCACCAGCCACAGAGCGCACGATTGACGCTTCGTCCCTATCGCCACTACGAGGCCGAACGGCACAAGGGAACAACCGGTCAAGCTCAACTCGTTTGCATTGCTCAATGGGTAAACAAACGTCCGCAATCACACGACACAGACACTACTCTCTCCAGCGTCTCACTTTGCTCCACAGCACGTCCTCCATCAATCTCCTCGTCGCATCAAAACCCATCGCCCTCTTCTCACTTGCCGCCGTAGACTGAAACGCAGGGAAGGCACACAAACGTCCGCGTCGCCAAAGCAGTAGCAGCGAAAACAGCTCTGGTCTGACTGACATCATGGTGCATGTTGGTCGCAGTATGAATTGAGTCGCAGGTGCCAGCAGCCACTCCAGTCCTCAGCCTCCTTGACCCAACTCGAGGCTCCGAGTCTGCTCCTGCGGCTTCTCTACCTTTATCTCTTGCTTCACTGCCTCCGTCTTGGGCATTGCACCGCGAGCCGATGCGGTCGCCGCCGCTCGAATCCTCAGGCCCTCGTTCCACAATGCTGCGGACGCTTCCCGCTTATCGACAGCATCACTGGCGTTGACGTCCGCTGCGTTCGGCATTGTCTTCGACTTCTTCAGTGACCCGTCCATGCCTGTAGAGGACGAAGACAACGATGCAATCAATACCGCATCGTCTTGCTCGGAAGAGAGACGCGCGCGCTTCTTCAGCAATGTCGCAGACTCCAACGCCCTTGCCGCGCTGACAAACTCATCGGACGAAGCACTGTCGCTTTGCTCGACGCTTCCAGACGATGCTGGGGTCACAGCTCCTTTCGTCAGGTCGTCAACCTCCTTCGACTTGTCCATCGGGTCGTCGTCGTCGTCCTGTGAATCGTGCACAGGCGTGTCGTGCACAGGCGAACCATACACAGGTGTTGCCGAAGGTGTGTCGAGCGGCGTCGCGCTCGGGGAGTCGTCGTCGTCATCGTCTTCGTGTCCATTGTCGTCCATCGAGCCCAAGTACTCGATCGCTAGTTCAGGCTCAATCAGCCACTTGCTGAACTCTGGAGCTCGCACCCGCGGCGAGGGCGCCCAAATCTTGAACGGCTCCGACACACCGATGGGAGTGGACCCGCCACGCGCTTCCAGTGGTGTCTTGCGCAGCACGCCAGGGTTGAACTCAATGCGAAACGCACCTTCGCCTTCAAAAATGGACTTGGTCTTGTTGAGGTACGCAGTCGTCTTGGCTTCAGCACCAGTCGCGTCTGTCATAGCCTTTGGTCCACCTTTCACCTCGACAAACGCCTTCGTCAGCTCCTGGCAGGTATCGTCGTTTGCCAAGTGCTGCATCTGCTTGAGCACTTGCGTCACGAGTTTGTCCATAGTAAACAAGAAGTACGATGTCGAGCCCATGAGACTTCGGCAAGAGTCCTCGTACTTGGCATTGTCGACCGAGCCATCAATCAGTGAATACAACTTTGACACGAACGCCTGGTAGTCACCAGTCTTCTCCTTTGCTGACGCAGACAACGAATGGTGCGCGTGGGCCAGTGCGCGGGCAGCTGGATTGATCGTGCGACGATTGCGGTTCCGTTTTGCTTTCTCACACAGGTCAAACGCGCGCTCGAGCCGGTTGTGCAGCACCTGATACAGACGCAGAAAAGCGTACGCATGCTGATTGCCGTAAAACAGCGACTTGGTATCGGCTTGTACCTTAACTGCATCTTGCTTGCTATCAAGAGCCGGGAGACTGGGCGGGAAGTCCGCGGCCTCCTGGATGGTCAGAGCGCTAGGCTGCAAGTATGCTTGGCATCCTATTGCAGCCAAGTTGATCGTAAAATAGGCCTTTGCTTTGTTAAATTGCTGCACCGTGCCCTCTCCAAACTCCGTGCTCACTTCCGTGCCGATAGGCAACGTCCTCGCCTTCTCCAGTGTTACTGTAGTGTGCTGTGGCTTGCGTACGAGCCACTCTTCTTCCAAATGGAAAAACGGGAAGAAGAAGCCTTGCCAGACCTTAGATATCTTCTCCTTGTCAGCCACGCTCAAATTCTTCTCCGCGGCATACGACAGTAAGCCAAATGCCTCCTTGTGAATCCGCACGGATGCGAATTTGAACACGAAATGAGGCTTCCACTTGGTCGACGACGCAGACTGCGGAAAACGTGTCGGCGCCATGCTACCTGATGGAATCGCAGTCTTTACTGAGTGTGCCAATTGTTCCTTTTTCAGTGCATCAGCAATAGCTGACGGCTGAGGTGCAGCTTTCGCATTCAACACACCCGAGATCGTTGTGGCAGCGCATGGTGGCATATCCGAATTCGTTTTCAGCACTTCGGCGCGCTTTTCGTCCGCCTCGAGTTTCTTCTTGGCCTCCTGCATCATCGTCTTCATACTTGTCTGTTTCTTATCTTTCTGCTTGAAGTAAAAACTCGAGTGGTCCAGTGACTTGTGGTAGTTCTTCTCGTTCACTTCCTTCCATTGACGATTCAAATCTTCACGCGCGCGGCGCCACTCTTCGTCCTTCTGCTTCAGTCGCTTCAGAATCACAGGAATCGCGCCAGCAGGATACTGGCGCAGCAACTCTAGAATCTGCGTCCCTGACTCCCCGTAGATGCGCGTGATAGCATTCAAGTGCGTCACACGGAACGTGCCCTTTTCCACAACGTAGTTCCACAGCTGACCTTCCTCACCACTTGACTCCTCGCTCTTCTTGAGCACCTCAATCTCGTTCGCCAGCGGCTCAAGAACACTGATCGTGGACGCATTCGTTTCGATGACCATGTCAATCTCAAATCGCTCGTCCTCGCATTTGAACAGCGCTTCCTCGTACTGGTTCTTGCGCATACTCTTGAAGGAGAAGTCCTCACTGCCTGTGGGCACAGACACCCACAAGTCATTACACACTTGCTTCTCCAGCACCGAGCGATGCGAGCATGGCGGTATGGGGTAGCTTGACGGCAACCCACGGTAAGATGGAGTAGCACGGCGACACTGGGACAGATCCGTCTCAGCGAGCGGGATGAATGGCCAAATCTCCTTCGCGTTCTTTTGCGCACCATGAGAGCACAGCAGACGGTCAAACTCTTCCACCAGGTCCGTATGACGACCAAAGAGGTTCCTGATAAGCGACAACATCTCGTTGCGGTCGAGTACTTCCTGGCTGTATAGCTCCAGACACTTCAGAAATTCGCGCCAATTGTCTCGAGACGGAAGAATCTTCTTGATCTTCTCGAATATAGTCCACTCTTCTTTGTCAAGAAGCACGTCCGAGATTGCCAGATACGTACGGCGCTCTTTTCCATCATACGGACGACGTTTCGCACGCTTGTGGTTGAACTGCGCGCGGTTCCGTTCACGTTCACGCTCTTTTTCCCGGCGTTCCAACGCCTTGCCACTAAGACGGTGGTCATCGTCCTTGTATGCTCTGCTGCTCCCTTTTTTGCCGTACTTCATGTGAGCATCGTCCCCATCGCCCATCATGCGTCCTCCCTTCATTGCAGCGCTGGACGGTGACTCCGGTCCACGGTCACTGCGCCGATCAGACGGCTGGTAGCTCTGCGATGCCAAGCCATACTTGCGCGCTTTGAGCGCCATTTGGTCCTTGCGCTGCTGCGCCTTCTCGGCCGCACGGTTCAGACGCTCTTTTGCTTGTTCCTGCACGGCATCGGGCAAAAAGAACGTAAACTCACGCAGCAGATCCGGGTGGTCGCGGAAAAGGTGCGAGACTTGGTCCAGCACCTGGCGGATCGACCGCTGCTCTTTCTGGTACGTGTGCAATATCGCCAGGAACTCCTTGTACGTCTCTGGCTCGTCGGCAAAGCGCTGCTTGATCGTCGTCACGTAGTGGATCGCGTGGTCAAACTCCACGGGGTTCGTCGAGCTTCGGTCGGCCGGAGTTCCGCCACTTGTCCCCGGGTTCTGCTGCTGCAGCTGCTTCTTTGTTTTGCCGCCCGTTTTCATATGCCCACCACCACCACCAGCAGCACCAGCAGCAGCAGCAGCAGCGGGTAAGTGCTGGCGCGAAGACGTAGTTGGCTTATGGAGCTCTGGCGGCGAGTACGGCGGCGGTGGGATCGTCACGGGCGGCGGACGAAGGCACAGATTGGCGCTCGGCGACTGCTGCGTGGGGCCTCCGGTCGAGTAGATCGACGGCGGCGCTGGGCCAGCGCTTCGTCCCGCCATCTGCGACGGAATCACTTCGATCGACGTGTCCGGTCGGATCCGATAGCCCGGCGGTAGGAACGTGTTGAAGCCGAGAATGAGGTTCGGGTAGCCGCGAAAGAGCGTCGAGACGCGCAAAATGACGCCCGGCGTGTCAATGGCCTGCGCCTTAAAGTCCTTCATGACGTCGAGGAACTGGTTGTAAATGTCGGGCTGGTCGCCAAACTGCTGCTTCACTTGGTCGAGGTACAGCAGCGCGTCTTCGACCCGCAGCTCGCGATGACGCGGCGGCGGCGGCGGTGCGCCATTGCCATTGCCGCTGCTGCCCATTGCCGCGTGGTAGAACTCGCTCTCGACCTGTTCGCTCGGGATCATGCGGCCGTCCAATCCGTACTGCTGCGGCATCTGAGTCGGGTTCCGAGTCGGAGTCTCTCCTCGTCTCGGCGACGGCGGCCGAACACTGTAACTCTGCGTCGAGGGCTTCAGTCGATCCGACGCCGACGGGCCCATTGTCTGCTGCTGCTGCTGCTGCGCCATGGATTGGCTCATGTTTGGCGTCTGCAGACGCACTGGATGGCCCAAAAGGCCCGCGCTGCCGGCCACAGCGCCGCCAGCAGTGGGCTGCGAGAGCACTGAGGGCGGTCCAGCGCCGCCACCGGCGGCCCCCAACGCGCCCCGCGGCGCGTGCAGAAGCGACGACGACGTCGACAGCGCACGCGGATGCGGCGCGCGCGCGGCCGTACCCGCGGAGGGGCCGCCGCTTGCGCCACTGAGCGCGTGCAAAAGCGCGTGCGACGGCGGCGCGTTGCTACTGCTGCAGCTATTGTTGTTGTTGCTGCAGCTGTTGCTGTTGTTGTTGCCGTGGAGCGGGTGCAGGTGGTGACTCAGCTGCGCGAGTGACGTCGGTGGCGTGTGGTACGGGCCGAGCGACGGCGGCGGTTGGGACGGCGGAGGGCCACTGGCGGACGGTCCGCTCTTGCGGTCGTGCGCGGCGGCGGCGGACGCGCGGGACGGCCCGAGGCGGTCGGTGGGAGGCGCGCCGGGGTATGACGGGTTCATGCGGGCGGCTTGGGACAGACACACACACACACAGGGAGAGAGAGAGAGAGAGAGAGCGCGCGCCTGAGGCCCCGAGCGGACGGCGGGGCGCGAGAAATGACGGCGGGTGAGGAGGGGCGGGCGGGCGGGTGAGGTGTATAGTATACAGACCGACGCGAGGGGGGAGGGGCGGGCGGGCGGACGTAAGCGGAGAGCTCGCGCTCGAGACGCCGTGGGGATGGGCGCGGTACGTTTGACCGGGCAGCAGCGGATGGCGGTGGGGTGGCGATAGAAATAGAAATAGAGGAGCGGGAGGGGGGATTGAGAGAGCGAGGGGAGGGGGTGGCGAGGGAGGTGAATAGAGTGCGGTAAGAGTGTAGGAGTGGGTGGGTGGGTGCGTGGGTGCGTGGGTGGAGGAATGGAGGGATGGGTGGGTGGGTGAGTGGGTGGAGGAAGCGAGTGGCGGCGACATGGGTTGCCGTAGTGATGTCGAGACGGACATAAACGTGTCGACGATCAGGTTGCGGTTCAGACGTTGTGAGGCGGAATGCGATCGGCTGATACTGTGTTGTTGGTGCTTCGACGGGCAACTGACGGTAGGGTCAAGGTCGGAGCCGACTGTGATGCGTTGATAGCGCTAGCTACGGAACAATACATCACGCGGTGGATGTCTGTCGATCGCTCTATCGCGTAGTGCTAAGGTCGGTCTGGAACCGCATTGTTGCGAACTGCATTGGCAGACACGACGTCCACCACAAAGTGTCTTTACTCTCGTCAATCTCCTTCTCTATGCCTCTTCGAGCTCATTCGTACTGCTTCATCCTCATCATGTGAGGAGCCATACCCCACGCATGGCATGAAGAAGAGCGAACTGGTTCGCCGTGAACTGACAGCAGAGCTATTGGTGTTGGAAGCACAGTCGGATACAGCTGCTGCTGCTATTGCTGCTATTGCTGCTGCTGCTCGAAAGGAAGTCGGGTGTTTCGCAACAGCGCCAGCACCTTTGATTAGTCACCTGCGCTGCGTCGAGAGCATACGCTGCAGCGTCGTCAACAACATCTGTCGACGCTGTTTACAAAGCACGGGGTCAACGGGGACAAGCGCAAGACGACGGCGAACTTTGTACCAACAAAGATGGTGGCGACCCGCACAAAAGCGTTTACGTTCGGCTTTCCGAGAGACCGCCGCCATGAGCCATACAGACTTAGGAGCAGCAGGAGGGACATGTGGAATGACCGTCACGACGGCGTTGCAGTTCTTTGACTGCTTCGACGGACACGGCGCGAACTCGAAGAAGAGGATTCCACACCATAGCATCGTCTACCCCGTCTGATGGGGCTTACTTGTGCCCTACGGAGGAGCTCAAGACGAAAGTCGAAGGGCAGTTGACGTCGTCGTTCCTCTGCAATCGTTGCACAAGCAGCTGAGAAAAGAAATGTACACGTGTATGCGCTAGCGCATGTCCATGTCGTCGTGTTTACGGACACGGTGCAGCACTGACTACATCAGCCAGTGGCAGTACTTGCGAAGAAGCGTTTGCTGCTGTGCCGTGCAACGCAACAGCGGTCGAGTCCACTTTTTTGACGAGCGAGCAATCACCGAGTTACCGTATCGGGTCAGCGTTCGCCGTGCTCGATGCAGTTGAGGTCGACGATGTTATGGAGTGCAGTTTCAGTTCTGTTCGCGGCTTTGGTGTTGCTCGATGTGCACCGATTGGTTTCGCGCTCAGAGGCGAACATGAACGCTCATCAACTGATCGTGGGGTTTCACACACACACGTTTCCGACCTCGCGAGCGCCGTCCAGTGACCTGTTTGGTCCGCCCCGCAGACAGTTTGCTCCACCTGACCGGCCCGGCACATGCGACGTGTGGACGTAAAGCACTGTGGCCCGTTCAGTTGTTTGCCTTCGTCCCTGTACAGCGCTCGCGTCGTGGGATGCCACGTCAGCACGTTCCACTTGCAAAGACAGTCAGGAGGTACCTCGTGAGTAACTGACGCAGTGTTATGCGTCGCTAGCTGTAAAATCTGATGTGCACCCGTCGCATCGTAGCTGTCCGACTTCTTCGCCTCAGTCTGTTCTTCTGGTTGTTGCGAAAACATCCGCGATGGGAAATGTCGCTCGACGCGACAGCCCACGCGAACGCGATCGTCGCAGCTTCCGAGATGGGCAACAACGCCGTCTGCGTCGCTGTCTAAGTACATCTGTAGCGACGCGGCGACTGCAAAATGGCCGCACGCCGTCGTCCACGTCCGACCTCTCTCTGAAGCCATGTGCCACTTGACGGCCGACTGAGCGAGCCCACATGTAGTCCTCTCGCTAGCAGACAAAGACCTGCATCTTGACGAGCGACGACAGCACAGAGGGGGCGCACGTGGTGAAGAAGGACATGGGCGTCTACGTTTCAAGTAAGTCAGTGGTCGTCGTCTATCGATCGCGTCGGACAGAACGAATGAATAGCTTTTGTTACGGACGGACAGGTCGGCGTCCCGTCCACAACCAGCCGACTCTTCCGTGGCCTTCGAGTATTCCCACACGGACAAAAGGACCGCTGGTGGTAGTAGGAATGCGACGACTGACTTTGCCCTTCTCCTGTCGAGAGAGGTGGCAATCGGGCAGGTGACTGAGATCAACGGCCACTTTGATGTGGCCGCAGTGCGACACACCTGTGGAAGCGCACGTGTTGCTCGCCTTGATTTTACTCGAGCCAGTGCAGCCTCAGCGCACTATCTGCTTCGATCGTTCCCATGACAGCGTCTGTCCTCGACATCGTAAACCCGTTGACGTGGCGCTTTGCCATTCGGCAGTGCACGTGGTCTTGGCCTCGATGACTCGAGCCGCGACGGAACGAACATGTATGTCTGGGACTGCGAATGTAAGCGAACACCACGAAACGGCAGCGCCCGTAACAGCGGTCACAGGGCTTTTTGCCTCGAGGCTGTGCACGTACATATGACAACCGAGAGGACAAAGGTCGCTGTGCTGGACAATGTGAGTGTCCAACCTGTCCGTTCTTATCGTCCATGAACAACACAGTAAGTCGCATCTCGCAGCTGTTTGGGCTCGACGGCATTTGATCGTCTCGATTACTGCATGTGCGTGTGACAATATGCCACCACCAGTCTCTCCTCCTCACTACGACTGCGTCAGCCGCCTCGATCGATCGAAAGCAACTGCAGCAATCGACCGCCTCCCCCGCCTGTGGACCCATCTACCCATCGACCGATCCTTCTGTCAGACTCCGTACCGCTCGTGCTGTTCGGACGCAGGACGACAGTCCATTGTTCGACGCGCACAGTGCCGCGCAGACAGCGCTCGACACGTCATTCGTAACCCATAGCAGCAGCACTCGAGACGTGTCGCGAGGCATCGATCCGCTACAAGTCCACAACAAATACCATGCGCGCGTCCTTCAGTTTCTGCGCAGTGAGGAGGCGAACGTCGATCGATGTCGCTGTCTCGCAGTGGCGCGACCGCGACAAGTGGCCGACCACAACCCCGTGCGACACGGTCTGCGCGCGATCCGTAGTCACGATCGCGACGCGACTTGCGCTCGAGTCACGCACGCGCTCTCGACATGTCACGAGCGCGATCTTACCCAGTCTCAGCAGCAGCTTCGGCAGTCTGATCGTTCAAAACGACGTCGCGCTGAAGCTGAAGCCTTGTGACCTCTGCTGCTGCTCCTACTGCTGCAGCAGCGGCCCTCGACGGGCTACCGAAGAGACGACCGAAGCGTCTCCGAACACGCCGCGCAGCAACAAATCAACGCACGCGAGCCCCGCGCACTCGCGTGCGGATTAGAGTCTCAAATTTAGAAAGGAACGCGGCTTCGAGGCGAGCGCAGGTTGCTCGCAGTGTCTGGGATGCACCAGCGGAAGACGCCCCAGCGTCCGCCTGTGGGAGCAATATCTTTCCTGCGCGTGCAACCGGATGTACGCGCCGGGCACGGCCCACGGATCCTCGTGTGACTTGAGACTATCGGTGGCTTTCGCAACACGAGCAGCATTTTCTGCGACAACTGCGCAGTCGACGCGGGCACCTGATCGAAAAAAGTATCCGCTCCCGTTGCATGCGTTTACCTCATCAATAACAATCGTAGTGCTGCGGCTGCGGCTGCTGCTGATGATGATGGCCATATGAATTTGAGATCACTGCAGGCGATGGCGCCGCACGACACGAAGAGAGCGATGAGAGCGCAAGTGACCGTGGAAAGTCTTCGTCCAAACCAGTGCACGGCAGCACTCGGCCAGCGGCCTCGTCGGCGTTCTTTTCCTGCCAGCGGCGCTGGATGTGCCGAAAGTGGCCGCACGTGTTCAGAAGCAAAATTTCAATGGCTGGCTACTGCTGCTACGCAGAGGCAGCGTCGGGGCACGAAGCCGCGACAGCCTGCAGCGCGTGTTTGCGCGACCAGCGCAGCCTCCTCCCACTTCGCCTGTCACATGATGCACCGACAACACGCTCAGCTAATCAGTCGCCTGTCGGACGACGGGGAACTTTGCACTGGACCGCAACAAAACCCCACTCGACGACACACGAGAAGCGCTACTGCGTTACTTGACAGGGAGTACGAGCGAGCGAGCGAGCGACTCCTTTGCTGCCTGCAAGAGGCAGTCGTGGCCTCGATGTGTAGCTGCCCCATCACGATCGGTAGCAACGGGGCCGCTGCGATGTCTGGCCACGAGCGTTGGCCCACACAGTGACGCCGCGCGAATCGCGCGGCGTTCCACGTGGGAAAGCTGCTGATGGGACAGATAGCGTACGCTCGTGGACCGCGCGCGGCTTTGCGATCCCAGGGCGCGTCGTCTGCGCGTCACGACGACGTGGCCAGTGCCGGCGGCCGCGTCGTTGCAACAGGGACTTGCACTGCCCGAGAAAAAGAACGAGCAGGTGGCGGCCACCTGCCTGTGCTCGGCCGCCACGCATCAGATGCGACTTTCAGCACTGCCGCCAGTCCTTCCGTCACACACACTCACACTCACTCACTCGCTCACTCACTCACTCTCAGGTGCACTCATTCAGTCACTTCCCGGCGCATTCGTTCCACGACCACTAGTGGCACACGCGAAAATTCCGCGCTGGTCGCGGCTTTTTTCGCGACAAAGAAGTGCCAGTGCCAGTGGCAGCTCTCCTCCTCCATCTTCCCGGCCAGTAAAAGTATGTCGCGGCTCTCTCTCTCTCTCTCTCTCTCTCTCTCTCTCTCTCTTCTTACGCTGAGCCACTGAGTCGCATCCAGCAGTAGCAGCACAAGTGCAAGTAGCAGGACGGACACTGAGCTACAACGTGGTCGCTCTCGTTGATGCGGTCGGTGGGGCTACGGCGCTTGCGAGGGCCATTGCGGTCCGTAGTGGCAAAGGCGACGGCCGTCAGCTGCGCCCAGGACGGGTTAGACTGTCCGAAACGTATCTTTTTCCAGCCCGACATAGTCAGCGCAAGTCAAACGCGCGTCGACGGTCGCGGGCCGCTCAGTTTCTGGTCATTACTTTTTGTGGCCGCCTCGCGCGCCCTGTCGCTCCAAAACGCACTCGTTGTGTGGGCCCACCGAGGCCGACGAGGAGACAGAGAGCGCGCGCGCACGCTCACCCCCTCTCGCCCGTCCGTCCGTCCCGCCCCCCGCTCGCTCTCTCTCTCTCTCTCTCTCTCTCTGACACTTCCTCACTTTTGCATTTGCCGTCTCGAGCGCACGTCGCGTGAGGGCCTCCGACGGACTGACTGACAGACAAACAGACAGACAGACTCCCTGTCCACCCGCAGAGCAGGTCGCTGTATCGTTTCTCGACCCTCTGCCCTCGACTCGCTCTTCGATCGACCGCGCGCGACCGCCCGCCACCATTCCGCGCCCGCCCCCCCCCCACCACTCGCACGCTTCTTCCCGCCCTCGCCGCCCCGATGATGATCCCCGAGTGCCTCCCGCGGGGAACGTCCCTCACGTCCGCCGCCTCTGCCACTGCCGCTGCGCCGCCCACTGTCTACCGCCTGAGCCTCAAGCCCGCGTCGCCCGCGTCCCGCGCGTCCCTGTCCACGTCGCCCTCTGCGACGGCCGTCACGTACGTGTCGAGTCGCTGGCCCGCGTCCCAGTCGAGCGCAGGCGCTACAGACCGCCGCCGTCGCCTCCATCCGACGCGTCGCCACAAGAGCTATTCCGAGTCGGCGCTGCGTCTCGAGCGCATGATGCAGCCGACGGCGACGGCAGCGGTCGCTGCTGCTTCGGCGTCCAGTAGCGCAATGCGCACGCGGCCGTACTCGGCCGGCGACGAGCGCGACCTCGTGCGCACGCTGACGATCTCGGGCTTCTCGAAGAACAGCCACGGCACGTGGATCTTCAAGGTGGACGTGGGCGGCCCGAGCGACGCCAGCGCCTACGTCGTGCGGCGCCGCTTTACGGACTTTAAGCTGCTGCACGACGGGCTCTCGACGCTCGCGCAGCTGCCAAAGCTGCCGGCACACGGACTCGTGTCGGTGTTCCAGATGGTCGTCGCCCCCGAGAAGCTGCTGGCGGCCCGCGCGGCGCAGCTCGAGGCGCTGCTGCTGGTGATTCAGGCGCACCCGACGCTGTCGAAGAGCGCTGTGTTCAGCTCGTTCATTGGCAAGAACCCGAGCAGCTGCGACGCGGGGTACGTGAGCCTGTCGAGCTACGAAGTGCCTGCGACGCAGCGCATGCGGACGACGCAGTCGTTCGATACGAGTTACTCCGTGTGATTGACACGGGAGAGGGGGGATGGGGAGTTGGCGCGACACTTACTTAGAGACTGTAGAGACGATGGAGGACGAGACGAGACGAGAAGTGGGATGGGATGGGATGGAAGAGGAGAAGAGGACAATGACGAGGAAGACACTGGTGAGACGTCGTAGTTGACGCACGCACGCACGCACACAGACTCACACATGCAGATGGCCGAGGCGACACCACACACGTACAATAGGTGGAGCTGCTGGCCACTCGGTGGCGAAGAGAGTAAATTGTATTTATTTACTGCGTTAGTCGTGTAACACAAAGTGGTTGAGCGTTCAATGAATGAGGAGACGGTGTGCCACGTGGTGTTTTCGGTTTGTATGCGTTGTGGGGGGTACCGTAGAGATTGTTACGGTGGGAGTTGGGTATGGCGGGTGGTGGTGGTGGTGGTACACTGGTTACTGTAGAGAGGAGTGGTGTGGGCATTGTGGGTTACGTTTTGCAGTGACCGCTGATCGATGTGGCTATTGTTGTTGCTGACTGTGCGTGCGGAAGTGACAGTCTGAAGTGACAGCAGTTGTGCATTTGTTTGTCTGTTTGTCTGTTTGTCTGTTTGTTTGTCGGTCTGTCTGTCCGTCAGAGAGTGCGACGCCGGAGCGTTACGTTTCGGGCAGACGGACGAACCGTGAAGAACGTGATTGTCACGCGAGGGTGGGATAGCGCAAATCGGACACTTTGCATCGGTCGGCTCTGCGGTCCTATTTATAGGTCCCACTTGTCGCTCTAATCGGTACAAATAGTGCGACACACTTGACAACATCCATCACGAAAACAATCGGATAAAAAAGCTCGAGCTGATACACATACCGCAGCGGCCATAGCCCATCAACTACAGGATAGACTACGGCATAACGTCATCCAGCCCACATGTTCCTGCATCGACTGCGATCGCCGGCGCGTGCGTCCGCCCTCGCGCGGGGCTTTGCGTCCTCGAGCACCAAGCGGCCGAAGCCCATTCGCGTTGCGAAAACCAAAGCGCGTCGTGTGCTGCCCGAGGCGCCGAAGCCGTCCAATGCACTCACAGAAGTGCCTGCGTACGGTGACGCGCCTACGACTCCGATCGTGCAGTCGGAGTCGCAGACACGTCAGACGTTTGGCGGCGCGATCAAAGAGGTGCGAGCGTGTGTGTAGCAACGTGGATCGAGAAGGGCTTATGCTGACATGCTCGTGATAACGTGTGACCAAGCAGAGCTTCATCTGGGGCGTGGGCATGGCCGCAGCGTTTTCGGTGGTCGGCATTCTGTTTAGCAGGATGGAAGAGGTTTGACTGGCTTGTTGCACGATAGGGAAGGGGTAGTGCAGTATAGAAGAAGAAGAAGAAGAAGAAGAAATGCGGCTGACATCGTGGTATGGTGGTTTTTTATGTGCTGTCCTATTCTGTTTATGCATCATAGGCAACAGCTTCGGACAAGTTTGACGGAAGTTTCGTCGTAGCGGACAAAGATGAAGAGATCAACTGCCAGCAATGAGGTCAGTCTGTAGGCTGTGAAGTAACTGCCTTTGAGCTTCAATTGCACTGTGCATGCACCATCTCCTCGTGTACTCGGCGACTTGGCGTTCGCTGTCTGATCCGTTATCGCGCACTGCTGCTTGACATTCTGATCCCAAACGAACGGTAGCGTCTACCTGACAGGTACCGCGTCTTGCTGCCTCAGGCGTCGCATGTGCTGTATTACGGTCTCGCACGATCCATTCATTGGCAGTGTCTTGTCTGCTTTGCTCTTCCGACGGAGCTCGCAGCGACAGTCTCGTCGCGAAAAACACCACTCGTCGCGGGTGAAAGTTCAGTCCCAGTCGTCGTCCGAGTCGGAGTCTGCGTTCGAGTTCGTTTCCTCGTACTCGACATGGATACGCCGCATCGCCATGGCGTTCGTGATCGCTTCGTTGATGGAACCTGGTTGCGTGAGCGCAGGCGGTGGCGGCACCGGCTTTGCGGCGGTCGATCCACCGGGAGACGAGCTGTCACCCGCCGAGTCCCCGGTACTATTCTTCAGCTGCGTGCCCTGTCGGATCGCGGCAAGTAGATCGCCATGGCCGCCTGCGAACGGATTTGGCCGTCCAGGTGGAAGACCCGTCACTGTCGGCTTGAGAGGAGGCTCTTGTGAGGCGCAAACGCTTGCCCTCGAGCTCGCTCGTGAGCTCAATCGTGAGCGCGACCGGCTCTTCTTGCCGCGCTGAGTATCCCCGTGAGCTGAACTAACGACGCTGCTCGACCGTTCAGACCGTTCCAGCGCTGTTTCCCTCTGAGCTAACGGGGCTGCAGAGTCGCGCCGCTGCTGCCTTGCTGGGGGCTTTGACCCATTGACTGATGTGTCCGAGTCCGACTCTGAGTCCGAGTCACCAGACCCAAACAACCCCTTCGATGCCTTTGTCTTGCTGGCCTGAGCAGGAGGGTCAGCCACTCGAGACGAACTAGCGGACAAAGCTGATCCCTGACTTGACACGGGTGCAACGGGGCTTCTCGGGGGACGACCGCTGGAGCGGACACCATTTGCAGCACTGGAACTCGATTTCTGGTCGTTCGCTAATGCTTGCGCGAACGCACCGTTGACATGATACTCCGCCTGGAATTGCTCGCTCGACAGCACCTCGCGGGACGAGACCAACTGCTGCAAGTATAGCCGAAACTCCTGTGCACGCTTTTCCATGTTCTCGGGCTTCGTGTTGTTGCGCAAGCGGTGTTTCGGAGGGAACTTCGGCAGTGTGATGCCCGGGAAAGCCGCTGTCAGTCGCGAGTGGATCGCCTCAAACTCCGCGTACGTGAACGAGAAACTGTGCTCCAAGCTTCCAAGCTGAAGCGCAAAGGTGTACACGCCGTCTGGTTTTTTGCCTCCAGAGGATAGCGCAGACGTCTTGAATAGCACGACAACACTCGGTCCTAACCTGCTCACTCCGACGTTGTGCGTTGCGGTGTCTCGTGCGCTTGTGTCAGTGGTGCTGCGCTGCGCGAAGAACGACGTTTCTACGCAAACAAAACGACATACAAGCTCGTCAAACGATGAGTCGCAACGAGATACGAATGCGCACAGGGGTACCGACCGTTGCTGGAATCAGAGTCACTTGACACGTCCTCATCACTGCTTGAAGACGCAGCAGGAACGACATCCTTCGGACGTGTGTCCATGCTCTTATCGCTGGAGCACACGCTGTTCGAAGTCAAAGAGGCGTCATTTGCTGTCTTGCTCTCTTGCTTGTCTGCGCCAAACAACCCCGTGTCCGAATCTTCGTCGCTGCCACTGTCGTCGAACAGTCCCTTGCGACCCGACTTTGCTTTTGTCTTGGACTTGGACGGTTCGTCCTCCGTACTATTCTCGCTCATTGCTTTGTTCTTCAGCATCCCGTTCGTCGCAGCACTACGAGGTGAGTCACGATTCCGATCGTGCGCTTTCTTGCCGTTACGATATGTGCGCTCTTCTGGACTGGCAGCATGACTGACAGCGCCCACTGAGTCGATGGTATCAGCGCGATTGCGGCGAATCGCGGCAAGACTGGCTGCAAACACATTTGCCATAGTCGGTGTGGAAGCAGGAGGACTGCTCTTGCCATTCGATCCCACGGCGTGGGTACGTGATGCCCGGTCTGTTGCGGAGTAGGATGTCGCTGTTGTCGAGCTCACAGTCGAGTCCCGTCGATGGCTCCTTCGAGACGCACGTGAGACAGATTGGGGCCTTCCGTTGCCTAACACAGCAGCCAAATTGTTTTCCAGGTGTCTTCTGTCCTTGCTGGTCGCATGCGACACAGAGCTCTTGCTTTGCGAGAACGAATCCCGAGACCGGATGACCTCGTCCTCCCGATCGAAAGCAAACGAGTCAAAGGATGCGCTGCGCAAGCTACTGCTGGATCTTGAAAGTCGAGACTCGCCATCACGAATGTGACCCGGGTCAAAGGGTGGAGGGGGCGGGGGTGGCGGAATGCCTGTCGGTGATCTAGACGACATCGACCCTCGAGAGCCGCTGCCAGGCCAAAGTGGCAGTGGTGGCGGGGGAGGTGCAGAGGCCATACCACCATCGTACCTCGATCCTGCTGCAGAAGAAACTGAAGAGAGTCGTGATGACACGGAAGAGCTGTCGGACACATCGCTGCTGAAAGATCCTCGTCGTATTGCTGCGTCGCTGTGCACAACGCCACCAACCTCGAAAACTGATACAACCCACAAAGTACACATGCGTTACGTCACTACTTTGACCCCGTGACCAGCCAAGACAACCAACACACTCACACTGTCCAGGAGGCGGGAGGTCGACACGAAATTTTGTCTTTTGCTCCACCACCTTCGTCTGCAGGCGCTGCATGTTGTCCGTCTTGCCACCCGCCGCTTCTTCCATCCGTCGTCGATACGCCGACTTGTTCACTCGCTCAGTCGTCGGCGCCTGTCGACGCTGCAGTCGGAGCTTTCTTCTTTCCAGCATTTTCGCCGTAGCCTCGTCCAACGAGCCAAGTCCATCCACGCGCTCCAGCGGCGTCATGTTGTTGATCTCCTCTTCCCTCGCCAGCAGCCGGTCCTGCTCTTCCTTGATCATCCGAGCTTTCTTCTCTTGCCACTTCCGAATCTTCTCGTCTCGCTCTTCTTTCAACCGCTTCTCCTCTTTCTTCACCCGACGTCGTTCACGTCGGACCTCTTCGCCCGCGGCACTATGCGGATCCAACACCGCTGCACAGCCAACACACACACAACAACAACAACAACAGCAACAACAACACAAAATAGCAACAACAACAACAACAATAGAGTCAGGTGCTGCACCATCCACCTCGTTCACGCCTCCTCTCGCTCCCTCTCTCTCTCTCCCTCTCTCTCTCTCTCCCTCTCCATCAACCACACGTCTCTATCCGTCTGTATATGTATCCGTACGTACCCATAAACGCGCGACACCACTTGTCGAGATCCACGCGATTCAGCGCCGCCAAATGCATCCGCGACTTGGCATTGCGCTCGACTTTGAGCGCCAATCCGTACGCGTGGACCTGCAAGAGACCGTCGCCGTCCCACCCGGCAAAGCCCTTGAGACACGCGGCGTCGACGCGCGTGCGGGTCGCCGCGTCGCACGCGTCAAAGAACTCGAGTTTGCGGTTCAGCGTCAGCACGACGTAGAGCTCTGTAAAGCCTCTGGACGTAGTGCCACGCGCAGTGCTTTGCGCCGACTCGTCGTGCTGTGGGCAGAGCAGAAACCCCTCGTGCACGACCCACGAGCCGCTGCCCATGAGGCCGTCTGCGTGCGTCGCGAGTGGCGGACAGACGGGCGGAGGCGCTTGACGGCGTTCGGACTTCGCGGTGGAAGTCGAATATTGTTTTAGGACGTACTCAATTGCGGGGAGCGCTATTTTTGTGCACGACTAATTGTGGGGAGCGCTATTTTTGTGCACGACCAATTATTGTTTTTCTTTTCTGTCTGCTGCTGCTGTTGCTGCTGCTGATATTGGACAGTAGTCGATGGGGACGGAGAGAGCGAGTTGATCGGCGAGAAGTCTGTCGTGTTTGGGCAGAGAGCGATAGGGAGTATTGTGAGCCGATGGATGGATGGAGCAGATGGAGGCACATGCGATGCATCGAGCGCGTGTTTTTCCCTGATATGTTGTGGGCTGTGCGGACAGCGAGCTTTTTGAGCATCTGGTGGAGAATGCAGCGCAATGAGGGGATGTGGCGTCGTTGACATGGTGTGAAGTGAGGCGGAAGTGGGCAGTAAGTAAACAAACAAACAAACAGCAGCAAAGAAGAGATTTGTGCCATCTTATTTGGCCAAAAGCACGCAAAACGAGGCAGAAAGTCGTCGGACCCAATGTCAGAGACCGGCAGAATGCTGACGCGCTGCTCCCGTTTCCGCCAGACTCCATCGCTTCGGTTATGGAGTTATGGTCAGTGAAGTGGCAGAGTCTTCTGTCACTTCACTGCAAAACGGAAGGACTGCATAACAGAAAGTATGCCCCGTCGCATGTCACGAGTGACCTGAACCTTGACACACTGTCGGTCAAAGTGTAGTACCTCTCACCAAAACCGAAGGAAAGGTATCTCGCCACTGGATACCGCTCTCCTCTCGTCATGCCAGCGGCCCTATCGCCACTGCAATGCAACAGTTGCGTGTCCCATGTCGACTTCGGTGTTTCTTGATCACATCAGAGAGGATACAAGTGGTCAGTCGGAGCCGATGGAAGCCGCGATAAGGTCGAGTGACGAAGAATCGGAACACACACATTTGAGATCGCTGGAAGAGGGGCACTCGTCGCGAAACGGTTCACTAGAACTAAAGAGATCACTATGCAACGTGATGTCTGGTCTCTGCTTGACATATATTTCGGGACCGTCACCAAGATACTTATCGAGCTCCTTGCACTTTCTGCTTGACTCTCGAGACGCACACAGCGCGCAGTTCGTCCAGTGTCTGCCTTGTTGTCCATGTGAATCTCATTCCTGGCAAGGCACAGTGTCAATGACGATAGTATCCGTTTGACACGCATCGCATTCTGCTACATTGACAGCTGAAAGAGTGTGTAGCTGCAGCCGTCATTAACAACGCGCTAGACACTGCGAAGCATCGATTGCGCTTCACTGAGCTCTTCATACAGTGCCAGGAACTTGGCTTCACTCATGTCAAAGCTGAGCTCGGAGCTAGCAGCCGCCGTCGTTGCCGATGGTGTAGCCACGTCGCATTCTACGATCGACTGGTCCAGCACAAGGTCCATTGACACTTTCGACTCGGCCTCCACCTTCCACTTCATCTTCGCAATGCCTGGAAACTGACACCACGCGCTCATGGTCAGGCACCATACAGCTACCACTGCACACTAGAGGCAGCAACGATCGAAGCATGTACCCGGAACCGTTGAGCATGCAGCTGGTCTTGGATGCGCGGACGCAGCTGTTCATAGCTCAGTGCAACAACCTCAGCCACTGCTAGTTGCGTACCCAATTGCAATAGCTCTTCCACCAGATCAGTTCGCTCGACATTGTATTTCGCAGCGTGTGTCAAGATGAAGCGTAGAAGCGCAACTACAGCCTGCCACGTCCCACGAAAACGCCATCAAGTACCGTCGTAACATCAGATGGTAAAACATACAGCGGTTCTCTTATGTTTTGCTCACCTTTCGATCGTTTTCTTCTTCAAACAGTGTCTGTGCTAGTTCCAGCTCCTATAGGCGCGATCACTACCCCTCTTTGTCGTGATAGTATTTCTCAAACAATGACGCACCTGCAGGTGGATATTCGCCCCAAGAGCGCGGCACATGGTCTCGAGATCACGAAGTAGCTGTGAAGTACCGCAGAGTCCGTCAGTGTCATGGGTACACCAAATCCGGACGCTTTTATCATCTCTCCCTATTTTTTTTTCGGAAAATCACAAGACGCACTATAGTTCTCGTCTCTCCAGACAGTAGCGGTACCTCGACGAGGACCCAGTCGGGCGGCTCTAAGCCTCCGCAGAATCGGAATCTCTGCGTCCCAAGTAGCACATATAAGTGTCACCGATACTCGACCGCGAGCCAGACAGGTAGTTTACAACATTAGCTTACGCACCATTTCGTCACTTGCCGGCAAAAGCGCAATAAAACCGGTATCGGTACCACACAGGTCACTGAGAGAGGGCAAAGTGATGGGTTTCTGTCAACTTTGGGACGGCGGAAAAGAGTTCAGACTGACGACAAGTGCAGCTTCAAGTCGAATGGCAGAAACGGAAGCGACTTTACGCCTCTGCGTCCAGTCACAATGGCAAAGTCTGTCGTTGTTTGATGTCGTACGTGGCCGAAAGAGCCGTCGAGGGAACGAGGATGATACACGGATGATTCACACTGATGCGCAGTTACGAGGGCAGTTAGTCGGGAGGTACAGTCGACACAAGGAGGGCTTCAGGTCGATACCGTTGGCAGCTTTGAGCACGCCACTTTGTGCTGCTGCTGCAGCCACTAGTATCTAGTAAGAATTAGTTCGGCCTGATCGATGTCGATGGTGTGTGTGTGTGTGGAACCGATCGCAACATTAGCAGCAGCAATAGTTGTAGACGCCCCTCCCCCCGCTTTCTGGGCAAGCTCGCGGGTAAGTCTACCTCACATGTGACTGCCGCCACTGCATAATGGTTTCACGAGCAAGTGAGCAAAACGGCTGATGGACGGACTAGTTCCGATCGGTGTCGCTTGCTGTAGCGAGAAACGGATTGCGTCGTGTGCTGGCAAAGCTGCACGTTCGTTCGCAAGAGCTTGCAAGAAATCCCAGTGCAACACGGAACAAGATCAATGCATGGGCCAAGCGGCGCTCATTGCGACACGCGTTTGTCAACGACTGGACGCCACGCTTGACCAGCAACTTGGTGACTCACGAGTGAGCGGTGCGCGCCTCGCTCGCATGCGTTTCGAGACAAGTGCAGCCCCGAATGGATCACATAGCACCGACGACTTGTGGGCAACAAAAGTAACGACCAGCAACGCTGGAGCAAGAGCGATACCACTGACGTCAGTCAGTAGCCGTTGGCTGCAGAGCAAACTCGATGCAGAACAAGTTTATCACGGCTGACCCACTTGAATCGGGAGGCTTCCGTCCAGTTTGTTTGCTCGCCATTTGGGCTACGCGTGTGCTGTCTTCTAACTACGTGCGGGTGGTGCTCGACTTTGCTGGATAGTGTTACAGTGGCTACGTACGAGACAATCTGTGAGAACCGTCTCACAGATTGTCTCGTACGTCAGTCGATCGTCAGAAGCTTCCAGACTGACTGCGACATTTGACACGAAAAGAGCTCGAAAGACGTCTGAGGTGAGGAAGGATCAGCAAAACGTCCGTCGTCGAGCGGTGCGAAACCGCTCGACTTTCCCAGCAATGAGCTCAACAGCGACGACGGTGGTCGAGAAGCATCGGTACATCGTGAGCGGGCAAGTCGACAGGCGACTGCAATTGGTTCAGCAAGTACATCGACCTGACGCGCGTACGATTCCGCCCATCGGTGAGCGACTCTCACTCACTGCATTTGTGCACAAATGCAGTGAGTGAGAGTCGTCATTTCGTGTCGCACGTGGGTGAGGGCAACCTGACTATGGTGTTGATGCGAACGGATTCCCACTGCACCCGTCTGCAACAGAAAAGAGCCAGCCCGTCGACGTGCTACGTACAGTTACGATCATTCGGACTATTATGATTGTTATTCCTATTGTTTCTACGAATCGTATAATGTTTGTTGTTGTTGTTATGCGGCGTGATGGAACTATGGTCCCAGTCGATCGCCCGCGTTTGCTCCCTATTGGCGATCGAGCCGTTGGCTCGCGAAACGGCGGGACGGCAAACAGCAGCTGCTTTGTGTGTTGCACGTATATGTATACATAACCCCCCATGCCAATCCGTTTCTCTCCGGCCGCCATCACGTACACTTACCGAAAGACACACGTGTACCCCCCCCCTCCTCCTCCGCCGCACCACTTCGCTTCGTCAACATATCGGCCTCCACCGCTACTTACCCAAGTGTCACCCCCCCCCCCCACACACACACGTCCCGCATCGCACACGCCCCTACTCACTCTTTGCTCACAACCGCAAACGTTCAGTCAAGTGCACGTCCCAAACGAGAGAGAGAGAGAGAGAGAGAGAGAGAGAGAGAGAGAGAGAGAGAGAGAGAGAGAGAGAGAGAGAGAGAGAGAGAGAGAGAGAGAGAGAGAAAAAAGAGAAGACAACCACAGACCAACACCCCCCAAGAAGAAGAAGAGCCGCGTGCTGCCCGCATCGTCAAGCCACATGGTCGTGGCTACACTCACCACCACTGCCACCTCCAAGGACAGCAGCAGTAGCTCCTCTGCCGCCCCTGTCCGGCCCAAGCGCGGGAGCTTTATCGCACTCGGAGGGCTCTTACCCAAAGTCGCGACGTCGCGCAAGGAAAAGAGTGCGCCGCCGCTCGAGCCCACAGACATAGTATCGTCTGCAACAGCCCATGCAACGGACGTCGACCAAGCGCGGGAGCTGCCCGACTTCCACACGGAGCGCCGCTCGCTCACGGGCGTCGCCCCCGCAGCGCCGCCGGCCGCTTCGGTCGCGTCGGCGCTCCGCCGCCGCGGGCTGTCGATCGAGCAGACGGCTACGTCGCTCTACCGCCGCATGAGCGTGCGCCAGAGCTCAGCGCCCGAGGCCGAAGCGACAAAGACGTCGCTCACGGACAGCAGTTCGGGCAGCTCGTTGTCGCCGCTGGCTGAGCCCGAGCCCAAGATCCGGCGCGGCATGTGCGTGGCCACGACCTTTGGCACGGGCACAGTGCTGGACGTGCGGCCCGAGGACGGCTGCTACGTGGTGCAAGTCGTGCCCGAGAGCACTGCGTACGTGCAGGAGGAGGCCATTGTGCGCGAGATTAAGAGCGTCGTGGGCGAGCGCGTCAAGACGCGGTGGGGCATGGCCACTGTCGAGCAGTACTACGTCGAGGAGGACATGTACAGCATTGCACTGGACTGGCGCTGGGACGACGAGCACGTGTGGCGCATGAAGGCCACGACCAAGAAGTTTGACAAGATCTATCCCCGGGGCACGCTCATGCAGCACACGAAGAACCGGCTGTTTGAAGGCTACAGCTCGCTGCGCGAGAGCGTGGTGGGGTCGAAGCTCTTGACGACCACTAAGAGGTAGTGCTCGCCGCTTTGGCGACGATGGCTGGGTGTTGTTTTTTTTTGTATAGAAAGCGAGCGCGTTGGGCGGTGTGTGTGTGTTGGTATTTCTCTCTTTTCAACGGGTGGATGATGATGAGGATACAGTGCTGCCCGCGTGACTGCTTTCGACGTGATGTGGCTGGTTTCTCATCTTGTTGTTGTTGTTGTTGTTGTGGTGCTATTGCTATTGCTATTGTTGTTGTTGTTGTTGTTGTTGCGCCTCTGTTTGTGGACGGACGCGGGAGTCAGCATTGCAGCGACCATGAAGCCTGACGCGCTGGAGCAGATGGACGGTCTGGGTCAGGCTCGCACGCCCTTTGGCGTGTGTACGGTGGTGGCCGTGCGGCCGGACAAGTTGTTTGTGGTCAAGACTCCTTGTGGGGCTACCGCGTACTTGAGTGCAGACTCGGTGCGTATGCTCGGACGACGGACGCAGTTTGCCAATGGAGACCGTGTGGACACGCCGTATGGACCGGGCCTTGTCGCTCATTTTCGCGAAGAGGACGAGACGTACGCCGTGGAACTCGAGGCGTCGCTACCTGATGGACAGTCGCCCGTGCTGTTCATCAGCGACGTGCAGGCTCAGACCGACTTGGCGCCCGCACCGGCAGCTACGAACACGCGCCTGTCGTCGATTTTGAACCTCACGCGCACGTCGATGATCAATGCTGGCGAAAGGATGCGCAGCGCCTCTGTGGCTGGGAACCTCCCCACGCTTCCAGCCAATTTGCCGGCATTACCGGGTAGCCTTCCGACGCTTTCGAGTGTCAAGGCCAAAGTGTCGACTATGACGACGATGAAGATGTCTCCGTACGCGACGTCTATTGTTCTTCGTGACTGAGTATGCGCCTGCGTGCCCCATGTGACGTTTGGTTGTTTCGATGCTGTGACACGGTGTAGGAAGACCAAGTACCACAAGGACGAGCGCGTGCTGACCACATTTGGGTCTGGGTTTGTGGTGGAAGCCCGTTCGCAGGACAAGACGTACCGCGTGCACTTGCGTCGGCTCAAGATCTCGGGATACTTTCACGAGTCTCGTCTGTCGCCGTTCCCGTACGAGCGCGTGACGCACTTTGTCGTCGATGGTCGGTCAGTGCTGGCGCCGCCCATTCCGAAGAACGCCAGCAGCTACAAGCGTCGCGCCGTGATCAGTGCGGCGATCAAGTCGGCTCGAGAAGGCACGTACGTTGATCCGTCTGTGCTTCCGAAGGTGACGGAAGAGACCGTCAAGGCACCAGTGGAGGAGGCTATGGTGGCCGCCGATGCAGTTGTTGCTGCTGATACTGCTGCTGCCATTGCTGCGTCGGTGCCGATGCCGGTGCCAGTTGCAGAGTAAAGTGCGTAGAGTCCGTTGGGCAGCAGCAAACGAACCCCACTGAGTGTGTTGGGGAGTCGGCTCTGCCCGTCATGACGGGGTCGTGCGTGCGTGCGTGTGTGCGTGCGTGGCAGTAGTCACAGTAGCTGCTGGTTCAGCAGTGCCCGCCATATCGACTGTGTATAATGAAATCGCGTCTTCAGTTTTTCTAGATTTGGCGCCGCTTGGGCGCAAAAGACGCGTTGGGTATCTTTCCATCGTCTGGCGCGGTACCATTCGCAGCAGAAGCGCCGCACGTCAGCGAGTCGTCTTTCACGTTGGCCTCACTGGAACGATGTGAGAATCGGCTTTTTCGATTGCCACTCGTTCGCGATCGTTTCATGCTGAGGCCAACACGTGCAGTTCATAGAGCACGATCGTGACACAGTTGCAGTCAGCTGGTCGAACTTGAAAGATCGGAGGCAACGGCTGCTGGACTTTCGGATTGCTCCGCATGTGGAGCAACCGGAAAAAGCCCAGAAGAGCTCTTCCCCATCGGACCGGCCGTCTTATCTGCACGTGCTCGAGCGCTCCGTCTGTCTGTGCCCTCTGTGAACACGAGCCGATCTTCACGTCCGTGACCGCTCGTCACGCGGTCGAATCGAAGCTCTGACAATGCCGCTGAACGCGAAAAGCTGTAGTGAAGCACAGACGTACACACCCTCTCGTGGCGTCAGGTACTGATCGATCCCAGTTCAGCAGCCATCGCCTTTGCTTTCGGCAACTCGGCGCGCTGCCCATGGCATTGCCCCACTGCGTCAGCGACTGAGCCCTTTTTCCTTCCTGTAGTCATAGATGGCGCTTAGTTCGTGTTGAGTGCCACATAGTCACGTCGTTGCTGTGCCTGGACCGCAGTCGTCCTCATCTGCTGCGATCGAGTCGCATTTCGCGTGAGCTGCTCGCAGGACTTCCATTGCCACTTTTCGCATCCGATTGTTATGGTCCACCGGTACTCTCGCGTTGCAGCGTTTGGCTGTGGCTAGTGGAAGCATAGCAGCTCGCAGGTCAGAAGTCAAAGCTGAGCTGGCTCAACGCCTGTTCGTGAGCAGGTGGCAGACCGTGGAGACGTAAACGTGCATGCAGCACGAAAGAAGGTGAAATGGCGGTCATATGTCACATGCATGTTGATGCTCCAAAGTTACGCGTGACTTGCAGTCGCAATAACTTGGCAAAGGCACAAGAACGAGACACTATTTGCCTTGCGCGTTATGTATCCACTTTCTCTCTCTCGTATACGAAATTGTGTCACTTGCACTACAATGTCGCTGTGCGTCTGTGTGTGGTGGGTACAGATCGTGGATCGACCAATATGGTCCATTGTATATTTATAGCCGATTATTACACTCCGCGCCGGGTACTATCGTACACCCACATTTTTATGTCGACTACTCAGTTAGATTTACATATTTCAAGATGCCATTTCGATATGTGGTGCATTTTCATTGGTAGAAATATCCTATTGAGTTAACGCGTACGATTTCGCAAAGCGCAGGAAGCCTCAGAAACAAGGCACTGGTTTGGCCACTGCGACATATATTATCTTACATTTGGCACACAAATTTGAAACAAAAAGCAAAGATCGATCCATTAGACAGAGGTCAGCAGCACGTGCCATGAGGCAACACGATGTAAGTGGCGAATACATACGAACGGGAATGGCATCAAAAAGCTACGACTTACAGGCTGCCAGCGGGGAACACTAGTGGTACTTCGAGGGACCGGCCTGAGCGTGTGTGCCCTAAATGATTTACTACACGGAGCCTCGATACTATGCGTCGAAATTGACCGTTAGAGTCCACTCCGTTGTTGCGGCTTTTTCTCTATGACTGTGTCTGCACATCTTTGGTCCATCTTAGCGGACGGTCAACCCTTCAGTCCATTGCTACGCCACACCAGGCGCAAGACACCACACTCGAAAGCGTAGTGGTCTATCATTTGACAGCAATAGCAACTTTGCAATCGGATGGAGCATCACGTGCAAAGTCTCTCGCTTCCGACAATGCCTTGACATAGGCTCTGTGCCTTCGCTTGTCGATCGTCTGGGTAGATGGTAAAATGCCGAGTTGATCTGAAGTCTGCCTCAGGACAACGATCTCGTGCCTGCTGCATCGATCGCTTCGTCAAGCGTCTCTCGATTTGAAATACACACACGACGCCTTTCCAGGGTAATCTGCAACGACCATTACTGATCACTGACACCCATAATTGCTCGTCGGTGCGCTTACACACGATATGAGATACGCGAGATCGGGCTGTTGAGAATACGCTGTTGGTGCTGCTTGTCCTGCATAAGTCCTGGAGGTTTGTTCGCCTGAGCTCTGAACTTGGCGCGAGGACGTTATAACGTTTGCGAAGCCGCGCCATACCTTAGATGATCGAAGGTCCCGCATGTGTGGCGCAAAAATTGAGCCCTGATCAGGTGAAGATATCACTCTCATTGCATCGTCCTGCAGGCAACGAGCTCCGCAACGAAAGCAACCAACTTCTTTAGTGCCTAAGCAAGCGACTTCAGTGTATATGTGCGTTACCGCTGACGCCCTTTACGCTGTGTCAATTGCGTGGGAAGGAAAAGCCCAGTCAGTCAGTACCTGACTCGATGTTGTGCGATATGCTTTACATTCAAGCGCCATATGTACGTGCAGCACCCACGTAGTCAGGGCGCACCACGCAATTGCTGCCTCGGTCATGGGAAACAGTAGGCAAACCTCGTCGACCAACAAAACGTAACGAGCACTTGCCACAGTGAGTGCCAAACACAACAACCTCTCGATCGCTGTGATTTGATTGACCACACTATGATCCATGTAGACTCTCCTTGCAACACAGTCGGGAAGCGCTCACTTCAGTAAAGAGTTTGACCCGCGATGCCCGTCAGCGAATCCGCTGAGGAACGGAGTTGCTGGCGTCGCAACACTAAAGTGGCCCATCCTGGGATGCGACACGTACACCAAGTCTCGCTGCGACTCTCGCTGTGACTCTCAATGATCCCGCCTGCCCGTCCGTCTTCTTCTCCTTCCCCTCTGCCCCCCCACTTCCCCCCTCTTTCTCCTTCTCCTTCTCCTGCTCCTTCTTTTTCTTCTTCTTCATTCACGCTCTTGCCTTCTCCTCGTCGCTCCCCTCTGCATCCTCGGCACACAGCAAACCACCGTGTTGGTTCACCTGCTCGGCCTCAATCGTCCTGCTGTCCCCCTCGCCATATGGCACTCGAGCAGCTTGAAGCACCTGCTCGTTCTCCTTCGCTTCGTCCTTCCCCACTTTCTTCATCTCTTCCTCCTTCTGCGCCTTCTCCGCCTTAGCCTCCTCGTCCACTCGCTCCTGCTCCAACTCTTCCTCCTTCTTCTCCCCTCGTCGCTCCGAATCGCCTCTCCGCAATCCGGCAATGCACTGATTCGGGTCACTTACGTTGCACGCTCTCGGTCCTCCTGGTTCCTATTGCCGGTTTCGGGGCCGGGCCCTGCTCCGCGGGTCAATGCCCGGGCCACCCTCATTGCCGAGCTGCAGGTTCCTGACGGGTCGCATCTTCTGCATCGTTGAGACAGCGTTGGTGGGAGTGACAGTCGTGATAGCGACCAGAGTGGCGAAGGCGAGAACGTATGAAAGCTTCATGATGCCTGAGCTTTGCGCTGGCTGGTCCAGTCCCGGATCGAGGTCGTGGGCTTTGCTTGGTCAATTGCGGAATGACTGAGCCGCTTGCCAGAGATCGAGTGAGGGCCACCGCCACTGCTGCTACGCTCGGTGTGAAGCTTCGTTTCGAGCGGCGCTGACGTCGGGGCGACGGATCGTCCTCTCCTTCATGTTAGTTGCTCGCCACACTGTGTCTTCGACGGTACACTTGCTTGGCCTCGTTAGTGGGTCAACAGAGACTGCAACTGGTCTCGTCTCCCACAGCGGCTCTCCAGTCGATCTTCGCGATCCGTTCACCAACGTACGTCATCAAACGAGACAGCTGCCATGCACCGTCACGACGTAGGGACGCGTTACATATCTCCAACTGAAAGACTGCCCATGTCCAACCCGATCTCCAACTCCACAAATCCATTGTCAGTTGTTTTGGGGGCGTGTTCGTCTTGACAGATGGCAGAACGACAGCGGTACATAGCACCGCGTCTTGCGATCCATACAAACGTATCATATTTTTAAAGGCGACAGTCCTCTCCCCCACACCGTTGCTGAACGTTACGCCTTAGCATTTGGAAATGTACATGGAGAAATTCCGAGCCAAAGTACTGCATTGACCTACGACAAGTTCGAGTTAAGGTGCTGCACTGACGTAGCACATGTTCGAGCCAGGTACGTGCGGCAAAGCTTTCTGTTTACCTTCATTTGATCCTATCGCGACGTATGAAGCTACTAGTTTCAGATTTCTGGATGGAGAATCGTCAGCAAGACACAGACTGCTCGATCACGTATCCCCAGCAGTCCGAGGTTGATGGCAACATGCGACCTGACGTGTCGAATAGAAGTAGAAAGTCGATGCTATGTATGGCCACTACTGGGGCGAAGGACAGTAGCGAATCTGAAGGGCACGGTAGGAAATTGACTCAGACTCAAGAATTATCGTACGTTGCTCATGGTAACGACAGCTATTTCGAGTCATACTATTTAGCGAGTGAAGTGCAAGACTTCTACGACTCCGATCAAGCGATTGTTGCAGATACGGGATCGTGGTTTCCCCATGAGTTTGACTGTATTCTTTGAGCTTCTCGTAGCGTAGGATTCGGTCCTATGTATTGCTGTCGTTTTGCCATTTGTCAAGACGAACACAAATTACGACCCAAGAACAACTGACTCTATGTAGTTGTGGAGTTGGAGGATCGAGTTGGACATGGGCAGTCTTTCAGTTGGAGATGTGTAACGCGTCCCCCACGACGTAAGCGTTCGGCCGCGCGAATTAGGGCCACTCCTCGACAAGAGATAAGCTGAGCCGGTTCAGCCGACTGCGAGGACGAGTTCCACTTCGATGTGGACAAGCGGCAGTTTGATCGTACGTTCGTTCGTCGTTTTTACTCCGTGGAAGACCGCACGTCTCCATGTCACGACTGAAAAAAGGGCGCGACAACGTCCTGCACATCTGTCAACGCTTTCTCCACGATGCGACGCCGCTCAGTCGCTCCCTCCATACGCGGGGGTCGCTGGATTCTCTTCTGGCATCTTCCCTTCGGACGGTTGTAGGCCCATCGCTCCTTCCCGACAAGAAGACTGTATGATAGATACAGTGGTAAAAGCGCGATCACTGACGTCGTTCACTCGCTGCACGGTTGGCCCACTATAGTACCGTCCAGAGCTCAGCGGCCGCAAAAAAGTCGGTCGACACGTCGTGCTCCAGCGTCCACCTAAAGCAGCAGACGATCGCTTGCGACGTCTTTTGGGATCGTGTTCAGCGCCTCTAGTGGTCGTGTGTTGACGGCAGTCGCAACAAAGTGTCGAAGACGTTTGTTTTGTAGCTACTTCCATTGCTGCCTCAAAGCTTTACGCCGGCAGCGTCGCGAGGTGCGTTGCGTCCGGTAGCACGTTTGACAATCAAACGACTCGGATCGGATCGTCGACTTCATTCGGATCACACGAAGTGGTGCAACAAAAGGAAGTCAGCTGGCAGCGCGTTCGTGCATGTTTCGTACCTTCCTTCGCCAAGCGGTAGCATTCGCGTTCCCCTTGCAGCACTTTTGTAACCTGACACTGTAACCTGACACTGTAACCTCTGCGCTGACACCGCGTTTCCTAGCATTGCCACGAATTGTGTGGTGCACCTTATGTGCTCCTCATTTGGGCAGCCTGTGAGTTCGTGTGTCTTACACCCGACGAAAGGACCCATTTTGTCGCCCGACGTCGTCACGAGCTGCCACAAGCGGCATCGGCTTCTCCCCCCATGGGCCTCTTGCGTTCCGTGGCGACTGCAGCGGCGTCTGTGCTCCTCCTCAGTCTCCCAACTACGTCTCCATCGGTAGCTGTCGCATCAACGGGTGTGGACCGCGTGCACCGCGTCGCCATACGCGTCGTCTATCGCGCGTTTTGGTCAGTTCGTCACATTTGCATCGATCAGTCAGTCAATCGGTTTGACCCTATCCGACACTGAAACTGACCGCCACTCTCTGCCTCTTCCCCGTCGTCTTTTGCCGGTCATGGGACGTACAGTCCTGCGTGCCAATGGTTCATTGGGAACCCGCTGCTGGAGCTCGTGCGGGCAGAGGACTACCGTGCGATCGTCAACTTGACGTGCGCAGCAAAGGCACTTTAATGCTCACGTGCCAACAATCGACGCTAAAGGTGTGTCGTTTTTCTGCTGACGCAGCCTGGTCCCAGTCGGAGGAATGCGGGAGACAAAACAAGGAGAATTGGCGTGTGAGGCCGGACCGCTCGAATGCACGGGCCATCGCTGGCAGGTCTGTGTGCTTGACAGGAACCGTGATGACATTGTCAAGTATATTGCGCTACTTGCGGTGAGCAGCTCTTCAATTTGCCGTGATTGATGATGGAGTGGACTCACGTGGCCGTCGTTGGTTTCAGTGCATCGAAGGCGACGAGTCAGGCAAAGAAGGCGATTGGCCGACAAAGATGAAGCACTGCGTCACCGACGAAGAACATGTTCGGATTGACGAGTGCTACAAAAATCGTAGCATGGATTTGCTACTCAAGGTTTGCGGGAAGGTATTTGATATACCAATACTGCTACAGAACTAACGCATAGCGCTTGCTTGATTCAGTTGGTTCGTGAGAAACGGCCTGGAAGCTCGCCTTGGTTGCCACACGTATGGTCTTAGTTTGGTTTGTTTGAATTGGCACTAATGGGCTGCAATCGTGTAAGCTGAAGGCATTTACGATGATGCGGTGTGCTTTGGTTTTGTGGATAGACGGCTGTGAACGAAAACGTGCTCGGGTCGGCAACTGAAGGGGTCTCGTTGAAGATGCTTAAGACGAGCATTTGTTTGGCATACGCAGGACCCGCAAGCTTCTATCCTGTGGGTTGCGAGAAGCTCGTCGGTAGGCAGAAGCGAATTGTGTCTGAAGATACAACAACGCACAACAAGAACCAATATATGGTGACCGCTGAAACAACGTCCGAAGCCATACCAGCGCCTGTAAAGAATGTGGAGAACACAGTAGTCGAAGAACCCGTCATTGCAGATGGAGGTGACAGTGTTGTCGCAGACGCGAAAGAGGAAGGAAGAGCCATCGCTCTTCTCGCGCATACGTCTGCAACGACCAAAGTAGCAGACAGCGCTGTCGCAGACATGAAAGAGGAAGGGAGAGTAATCGCTGCTTCCGCACATACGTCTGCAACGACCAAAGCAGGCAAGGTGGTGGTAGACATGTACTGGCGAGCTCTTTGGTGCGTCCTCGTTTGAACAACAAAACTAGTCGTGGGTGGACTTACGGACTGATGCTTGTTTGCAAAGCCTTGGTTGTGTTTCGTTCATCACGAGGCCGCTACTATCACTTGTTCGGGACAAAGAGTATGTTGTAGCAGTAGGTCAATGCTGGTATACGCGCTGATTGTCATTTTCGAACTCCTCTAGATTCCAGGAGATCATCGACTTTCGCCCAGTGCCCGCTGCTGGAACGTCTTATGACGCAAAGGGAAAGTTTGTGTGTACTTCTGGCAACTTGGAGTGCCAGGGACACAAGTGGCTGAGCTGCGCCGTCGAGGAGTTCCCACAAATCGGAGAGTTGGTCGAACATATTGCTGTGAGTTACCCTGATGATGCAACTGTGTTTACGCCTTGTGTGCCAATTGTAATTATACAACTTGTAATGTGGACCAGTGTATGGAAAGTAAGGATAACAGTGGCATGACGTGGAAATTTATCATCCATCGCTGCTTTGAAGGCGAAGCGCAAACGAAGATGCAATCATGCTACGATGTAAAGAGCGACGAGCTCTTGCGAAAGGTTCGCTTTTACACCTTGCTAAACTGTTGACGCACTCGAATGTTTGACACCAGATCTTGTGGCTTGATGCAGAATGTGGCAAAGAAGCAGGCGCTGCATGTTCCTTGGGTGCCATACGTACGTTGCCTTGACATCCGTGCGTGTTGTTTTCGTATCTGACCCACGATGCAAATATGAACAGGTCCTTATCAACGGGATACCGTTGGGCAGCTCTACTCATGGAGTTGGCTTGAAGCAGCTTACGGATGCCGTGTGCAGGGCGTATACGGGACCTGAGAATGTGCGTTGTATTTACTGTTTGCGGTCGGGGGCTAGCGAATGTGCTCACTGTAGTCAATGATGTCCTTTGGTATGGGGCAGTTGCCGGCGGCATGCTTGTCCAACCGGCTACGTAATGAGGCTGAGGCAAAGCTGCCGGCTGAAGGCGACGTAGTCAAGCCGTGTCCTCCGAAACGGATAAATAGCGGCGACACTAGAGCGCAGCACGAAGATGCACCGGGCATCGGCAAGCCACTTCCAAGTGAACGAGAGGCCAAAGCTGTCAAGAACTATGGGGCTAAGGTCACGGGAGGCAGACAGGCCGACGATGGCAAATCGTCGGCCACAGTTACCGCAATTGTCCTGCCTGGTCTATGCTTTGTCGGACTTGTTGTCATAGCGCGACGATTATCACGCAACCATAAGAAAAGCGCGTGAAAAGCGCGAAGTTGCGTACATACAGGATGTGGAAGTGTAAAACCGAGGCGTGCTATACAAAGGGGGTGTCTTCATTTACCACTTGGCGTGCAGTCGTTTGAATCACGTGCAGGTTAACACAAACACGAGTATCTCGCAATAGTACGTGACGTCGGCTACACTCCTTCCGCATCGTCGCTATCGTTGTTGTTGTCATCCGTTTTCTTCTTCCCGGCAACCGAAGATCGAGAGTCCTCTTCATCCGAGTCTGATTCAACCTCCGGGTCATCATCGTCCTCCTCCGACGACGAGCCGTGTGTCTTACGCGTCATCTCGAGACCTGGGCTATCCGTCATCGGTAACTGAAGTACAACACCACGCGACAAAACAGTTTGTAAAGAGTAGGAACACGACAAAGAAGCGGTCGCCCTTCCCAACATACCTGCATGGAATACGCAAACTGCGAGCTGTTCTGAGTTGGCCGCCAAATGAAAGTCATAGCAGCTGACACAGTGAAGTTCAGCACAGGCCAGGCCACAAGCTGCATCCACTCCCATTCGACGTCCCATTCAAAGACGCCAAGCCGACTGCAGACGGCCACGACCGTGAGAACAGTGAAAAACACGATGAAGGCAGCAAGCGACCAGGCCAACCAACGGTACATGTTGAACTTGGCGAACTGCTTCTGGTGCTGCAAGTCACGCAAAATACGCTCCATGGAGTACTGAATCCACATGATGAACGCGAGGTTACACAGCAACTGGAGAAAAGACCAAGCTGTTGGTTTCTCGCGAAAGTCAGCGCCGCTAGAGGTGCCTCGTGTGACTTCGTCAGCGATGCCCGACACGAAGTAGGCCAGCGACAAGAAAGCAATCACGCCAACTTCAACACGACTCAGGTGGCTCCGAACGATTCCGTATCCGAGACACACGATCAACAAGATAACACGAGCCAGGGTACGCACCAGTGTCTGTCAAACATCCAAAACAACCCGTCACATCGCAAAGGTCAGTCCATCATTCGACTGTACCAGCCTCCCTCACCTTATTGTACTCACGTCTAATGCTACTGCAACCAGGAACGTCGTCGGGTAAGGACAGCATACCGGTTCGCCTGTCTCGTTCATCCGGTAGAGCGCAAAGAGCCAGACTGCAGACGCAGCCGTTCCCATGACTAGAATCAAAGAAATGCCCCAATGTAGCGACAGCAGCTGGCGACGATGGCGGATCAATAGGAACGCGAAAAAGACGTCGAGCATCAGGTACCCCGCTGTCAAAAAAGCGCTGAACGGCAGCATGCCATACAGCACGGCCGGCAGTAATCCATATGGATTGCGTATCTCCATGGTCCCTGCAAACGTCAGCGTCTCTGTCGCTGCGCGATTGTCGTCGGCACACACGAACACCTGCGTGTCCGTCCATCCGCTATAATTGACGACGTGCGACACATTGGCGGTCACTGAGGGCGCGGACGCATTGTCCACGCGAAACACAAAGCGCTGGACGTTCGACATGCCGTCCAGCTTGACCCCATCGGTGCTGGAGCACGCCAGGAGCTCAATCTTGCCAGCCACTGCTTCAAAGTCCGCGTAGCTGTCCACGTGGTAAAAAAAGACGACCAGTCGCCAGCCAGTCATGTCCTGCGTGACGTTGACGCCGCGGATATCAACCTACAGACATATGCGCACACACGTCTTTTGTGTGAGAACCCCACCGCAACTGGAGGAGCACAAACAGGCGATGCGCACGGCACGCGTCGGCCCCGTACAGTGACGCTAGAGTTGCCAGTGCGTGCGAGGATCGGGCCCTGATTGGTAGCAAACAGCTTCTCCGCGCGCTGGAACGGGGGCACCCAGTAGCTGCTCTTGACGTCGTAGATGGACGCGGTGGCTTCGTGCAGCCACAGGCCGAGCAGCAGCAGCGACAGCAGCGACGACGACAGGACGAGCGACGGCATCTTCTGAACTCGGGAGGAGACGTGGCGTCGGTCTCGTGGAATCCTCGCGATCGCATTGGTTAAAATCAAACCCCTACTCCACTCGATCGTCTTCCGATTGGTCAAAACGAACAGCCAGAAAACTTCACGACCTGCAGGCCATTCTGCACTGCTGCGAACGGTCAGATGCCGCGACGCGCCGCAGCTGCTCTGTCCCGCGCGCGCGGCTTCGCGCGGTACCGAAGGAATATTCGTCGACTGCTGCTACTGGTGGTGCTAACGGTGCGCCGCAGGGATCTACTGGCCTCTGGCTCGATCCACACGGTGCACGACAAGGTCACGGGCTGCAAGATCACCGAGCAAATGTTTGCCGATGGCCACGGACCGTGGGGCCTCAGCGGCCGATCGAGCGTGCAGATCAACGCAGTGCTGCGGCCTCTAGAGGAACACGAAGTGCAGAATGCGATCACGATCCGCCGGCTCGAGGACTACTTTGACTTTGGCGTTGTCGTGGTCGCGTACTCGGCCAAAGCAGCGGCCGCGGTGGGCTTTGCCGACCGCACGGTCTGCAGCTGGAACTTTTCCACCAGTAGCAACGTGGATGGACGAGTGGAAGGCGGGTTTTATCCGATGGAGAGCGACGAGACGCTGCAGGTGAACCGGACGTTCTACCCGAGCGACAGTGGTCTACAGACGGCGCTGGTGGTGCCTTGTTGGAAGCAAAAGAGCGTGGCGTTTGGGTATCCCGTCAGTGCTGATGAATACGTCGCGTATCCGATGGCCGACCCGCTGCTGCAGGTGGATGCAGCAATCACGTTTGAGAATCCGTACGGGTATCTACCTGGATTACTCTATGGACTGCTTCCGTTCAAGTACGTGTTGATTCCTTGTTTGCGAGTCGAGGCATAGCTTGTTGCGCATGGACACGAAGATGGCGTGTTCGTGGTGCTAACATCTTGCAGTGGTCTCTTGTCGCTCATGTATGGGGCACTGGGCGTGTACTTTTTGGTGCTGATCAATCGACACCGCCAAAGTGTGGTCCAGACGCACTATTTCCTGCTGGTCGTACTGCTCTTGGCAACTGGTACGCCATTGACGCCTACGTTTAGCGAAAGTACTGAGCTGTGGTATCTTGTTACTTTTGTATAGGCGAGTCAGTGGCATGGTTTGTGACGTACAATCTGCTGAATCGTTCAGGTGTGCCCGTGTGCTGCCCGTACCCGGACTCGGTCTTGTTGTCCACGTTTGTCAAAGTGCTGGCAGGCATGGTGACGCGGATTGCTACTACACTCGTTAGTCTTGGCTACGGGATCGTCCGGATGCAGATATCGTGGCCTGAGGTCTTTGTTGTTTCTGGGCTAGGCGTCTGCTACTTCATTGCCGTCGGGGCATTGGAGGTGAGCCATCTTGCTAATCAGTCGGACGGGGACGTCCGCCCTCCTGCGGTCTGGGAAGCACTTGTGATCATGACCAACGTCTGCTTTGGCGGATGGATTTTCCTGTCTCTTGAGCTCACGCGCAAGAATCTCGCAGCCTTTGGACAAGTAGGCACTCGACGAAAGTCTTCTTTCTTCTTTGGGATAGCTTCATCGTGTCCCGTTGCGTTCTTTTGGCTAACTCGCGTTTTGAATCGTGTGCTGTGATTGCTAGACAGCAAAACTGCAGATGTACGAATCACTGCATCGGGTCTTGATCGCATACGTGGTCACTTCTTTCGCGATCATGGCAATTGAAGGAGCAATGTAAGTCCTACCGGTTGTAACGTTTTGCGGTGCAGAATGCAGTGGTGAAGTTTGACTGATCGTATCAATGCGGTGGGTACAACAGTTATTCGGGTGCGATATGGTTGCCGTGGCAATACATATGGGTCGTATGGGCAGCCACTCGCCTGCTTTTCTTCGTCATATTGTTAATTGGGGTGTACATGTGGCGACCAACGGAGCACGGGTTGCTTTACGCCCAAATGGACCAGCTGCCCAGCCGTGAGCCAGTTACACCATCTTCGATTGCGCGCGGTATCGAACTGAACCAGCGTGTGGTCTCAGCAGCAGACGATGAAAACACCGAGTCGGTCAAGTCGATGCCGTCAGCTTTACCTTCCAAACGTACTGGTACCTGAGCCCGTGAGTCACTGCAATGATGTTGCAAGGTCCGATGTGTGTGTGAAACTCGATGGATAGCGAGCAACTGATGGTCGTGGGAAGTCGACCGAATATGTTGACAGGAGTGATATTAAGTAATTATAATTTGGCTCGCAAAGCAATCGTGCCATGCAGAATCATATCGCATTGACATGGATGGGGCTTTGAGGGGCAGATACTTGTAAGCTAATTTGGCATTGTGCTATTTTTCGCACGTCATTTATTTTTGTGACCTGAGCTTTTTGACATCTGGACCTATAACGGCAAGATGACTATATTACTCTGCAGAGGGCAAAGATGCGGTGCTCGAAAAAGGTGTCAAAAACTCGATCCGCAAGATAAAGTCACCAAAATAGACGGCGGGTCTGCAGGCACTCTCGCACTCAATATCCAGCTTTTGCACGACAAAAACGTGCAGGAATGAAAACGTTTGGACAAAATTCATAGTATGCGTCAAAACTGTATGTTCAATTCGGACGGCTGAGCTTCCCGCTGCCACGTCTTTCTATGCGTGTCAAGTTTTTTTCTCGGCACGCCGTCTCGAGGTGGACGGCGCTCTCAGCTGGCGAATCAATACAAGTGATTTGATCGGACTTTTACATTGCATGGTGCAGGCCATCATCCCCGATAGAGGATGATGGCCTGCGCCATGCAACATATTCCAAGGGTCGTAGTCGCATTGGGCTATCATCCATCTAAGCATCCGCCGTCGATACGTTGCGAGTACTGTCTGTACACTCAATAATTCGTTCAGCAGCACAGCGGCAACGACATCAGCAGTAGATACGTGACCTTGCGGACACCAGCATATTCGATTGACGAGGCAACAGCACAAGAACCAAGCAAACATGGAAGTTTCTTGACTAATTACATTTCCCAGCATGACCTTCTTGTTCCCCACATTCTCTCAGCCAAAAGGCGACAACGAACCAACACAGCACTGAGAAGCACATCGCGCTCGTGTCAGACGCGACATCACCAGCGCAAACTGTGTCATCAGCTCTACTTGTTGGCCTTGGCAGCCTTGTGGCGGGCAATACGACGGCCAACACCGCGGACCTTCTTCGCGCGGTTCTTCGCCTCCTTAATCTGCTTGCGCGACGTCTCAACCTTCTCGACCAGACCCTGGCGGATCAACCGGTACTTGGGCTCGAAGCGCTTGGCATCGTTCACCGAGTCGTACACGAGCCCAAAGCCCGAGCTCTTGCCGCCACCAAACTGCGTACGGAAGCCGTACAGAAACACCGTGTTGGAATCCTTCACCTTGTACATCTGTAAACGCACGTAGCAACACAATCAGCGATTGCCTCATCCATCCATCCATCCTTCAAGCTGCGTTCCACATCTGCTCATCAGCTATCTATCATTCCCTATCAATCCAGTCAGCAGCAATCTCTGCTCTCGATGTATCGAAAAAGCACCAGGCTCCACTGTCTCGCACGTGCCCACTGTAACCTGTCGTTGCCTGTACTACTCGATTCACGATGGACTCGTCGATCGCTAAGACGCCTAGCGGACCGTCGTCTCTACTTGTCGTACCTTCGAGATTTTCTCCTGGAGCTCAGCCTTGGGCACGTTCGGGCGGCCCGGGTGGATCACTTCCACAACCTATGAACGCAGACATCCACAGAGTCGTCGACCGTTAGGTGAACGTCGGCCGGCCAATCCCAGCGAAAGAGATGCAGCAGCACACGACGCACCATTTGACGACGCGCGAGCAGCGAGTTGCGCAGGAACTTGCGCGTGCGCACCGTGACGGGGACCTTGTCAGCCATGCTCGTTGTCTTTGACGTAGTAAGCGAGAGGGTTTGCGGGGAATGAGGCGTGGCGCGGCGCCCGGGGGCTCCAGAGCCAACCAATTCGCGGCGCTTGGCTTCGACCAATCATCGGTCGAGCCCTAGCCCTCTGCGGCAACCAGGTCCCGTGCGTTAGGGGCCCCAAGCGAGCAATGCGGTGCGTTAGAGGCCACAAGCGAGCAATGCGGTGCGCTAACCGACGCACTAAGCGCTAAAAGCTCCAACGTGGGCTTCGAATAGCGCATTACCGTGGTCCATCAGGCCGACGTTACGTGGTTTGTTGTCCTAATCGACACTGCAAGCGATGCCGAGCTCGGCTTGCAACGCACGCACGGCCAGCAAGTGCACCGCTGTGCCTGCGCGCGTACCTACATTTCTAGCCACAGCGGTGATCGTCCGAAACAGTTCACGCCGCGGCCTCGCCCGTCGAACGCTTCGCCTTGTGCGCACGCGCTTCGGCTTTCTTGACAGCATTCTCCGCAATACGGTCCTCCTCGGCCTGCGCCTGCTTGTGCAGATCGTCCAAGATCGACTGCTTGTAATCCTCGAACGTGCCGTCGTACACCACCACGTCCTGGTCGCCGCAGACCCACAACACGCACTCGGTCGATTCAATCAGACGCGCGTCGTGCGTCACAATCACCACGCCTCCCTCATACTCGCGGATGGCGTCGCACAGGGCATCAATGGACTCGATGTCCAAGTTGTTCGTCGGCTCGTCCAGAATCAAAATGTGCGGCCGCATCAGGATGAGCTCGGCAATCACCACACGCGCCTTCTGACCGCCAGACAGTAGACGATTCTTGATCTCGTGCGCGTGACCCTCAAGACCAACCTTGCCAAGCAAGTTACGCACCTGCTGGTACGACTGGTCTTGGAACAGCCGACGCAGGTACTCCACGGGCGTCTCGCCCATGGGCAATTTGTCGACAAAGTGCTGGCTGTAGATGCCAAGTCGCACACGCGGGTTGCGACGCACCTCGCCTTCAGTCACGATCACCTCGCCCGTGATCATCTTCAGCAGCGTACTCTTACCCACACCGTTGGGGCCTACGATGCACACTCGCGACGTCGTGTCGATACCAAAGTCCGTGTTCTTGAACAAATACGGGCCGTCGTCGTAGCGAAAACTAGCCTCTCGCACTTCAAGAACAGGCGGCGAAACAATCGTTGTCTCCGGAAAGCTGAACTGCACAATGTACTCTTTTGGCCGCTCCAAAAGATCCATAGGCGCTGACGCAACCGAAGCATCGTCAGTTGTGAGCGCTTTTTTCGACGCACGAGCACCAGGTTCGCGTTTCTTTTTCACAATCTCAGTAGCCTTCTTCGACGACTTGCCCGATGCTTTCAAATTGCGCAGCTGCTTCTGTTGCTTCTCCCAGGCTTTCTCCATCTGCTTTCGCTTCTGCTTCTCCATCTCACGGAACATGTCGTAGTTACCCTTGTAGTGCACAATCTTCTTGCTCTCCAAGTGCAACACCTCCGTGCACACGCTGTTCAAAAAGTCGGCATCGTGGGATACCACAAGCAGCGTCTTCTTCCACTTTTGCAAATAGTCGTCAAGCCAAATGACAGCGTTCAAATCCAAGTGGTTTGTCGGCTCGTCAAGCATCAGAAGCGTCGGCTCCACGTACAGAGCTTTGGCTAACGAAATGCGCATCCGCCAGCCGCCGGAAAAGTCCTTCGTGACCTTCTCTTGCATGACCGAGTCGAAACCGAGACCGAACAAGATACGGCGCGCACGGGCCTCGGCAGCAGAGGCGTTCATGTGTGACAGTTGCTCGTACACTTCGTTTAGCCGATCATCGAGAGCCGAATCCTGCTTTGTTTCCAGCTCCGCCAAGAGGCGCTTCTCCTCTTCCAATAGCGCCCAGCGCTCAGCATCAGCCTTCAGCACAGCGTCCACAGCTCGCGTGTCATCAGCTACAACCTCCTGCTCGACGTAGAGACAGTCGATCTTGGGCGGAATCTTAAGCTCTCCCAGTGCAATCATCTTCAGAATGGTAGTCTTGCCCTGGCCGTTCGGACCCACAAGCCCGTACTTGCCGCCAGCATTAATGTGCAGCGACGCGTTATCGTACAGCAGCTTGTTGTGCGCGTTGATGCTAAAGTTATCGATATGAATGTCGGTCGCATTCTCCCAGTTCGAGTCCTCTGTAAAGGCCTGTTGAGACACAGAAAACTGTGCCCCATCCATGGGGTTAGCAGCACGATGGTATTCGTCTTGACGCTCTTGTCGCTCTTGCTCTTCTTTGATCCGCTTGCGCTCCTTATTGCTCAGACGCTTGCCTTCTTTCTCCTTCTTGTTCATCTTTTCGTTCCTGCCCGACGCCTCTCCATCTCTATTCTCGTCCTCTTCGTCGTCATCATTTGCCTCAAACGGGAGCTTCGTCTTTTTGCTCTTCTTTTTCTTCTCCTTCTTCTCTTTCTTGTCGTCCTTGCCATCTTTCTCCAACTGGTCCACCGGATCGAAAAACAGGTCCGTCGAGATCATTTTCTTCTTCTTTTTCTTCTTCTCGATCTCCGTCTCCTCCTTGTTCTTCTTCTTCTCGACTTCCATCTCCTTCTTCACCTCTTCCTCGTTCCCTTTTTTCTCCTCCTCCTCCATCTCCTTCTTCAGCTCCTCCTTCTCCTCGTCCTCCCCGTCTTCCTCTTCTTCACTTCCACTGCCGTCCATCAACGCAGCAAAGTCCACAGCCTTCTTCTTGTCCTTCTTTTTGCTCTTCTTCTTTCTCGTGCCAGCCGCCACTTGCGCGTACACATCCGCCTCGTCCTCGTTCCGGTCCTTCGGTTCATCGTCCGACATTTGGCCTTCGCTCGTCTGCTCTTCTTGGACTTTGGCCACCTGACGCTGCGCCTTGCGGGCCTTCAGCTTCTCCTTGCGCGCCGTCTTCTTGTCGCCTTCATCTGCTCCCGCAGGAGGCGCTGCCGTAGCATCGTCCGAGTCCGAGTCGCCGCCGCGGCGACCTCCTTTTTCTTGCCGCGAGCCATTGTTAAGCGAAGGATTCGACTGACATATGACTGGCCAAAAGTATCGAGCGAATGGGGTGAGCGGAGCTGCGAAGACTGATGCAATGTAAGTAAATTACTTCTTGCAGGTGCTCAGACGGGAGCATCGACGGACGCAGCGCGCACCCATTCTAAGTATGCACACCACTCGAATACGGCTTCCTCCATTCTTTCTTTTTTTCTTGCCATTCTCCCGTGATACGGTCGCTTTTGAGTGATGATCGAAATCGATTGTCCCATCATACAGTCGTGCAAAGTCACGGTATTCGAAATTGACCGTACTACCGACTCCTCGAACAACTCTAACACCTCTGAACGAAGTCCGACACATATGGTCAAGTGCTCCATCCACTATCTTTCTTACTTACCCTTGTTTATCTGGATGCCAAAGATACCACGTTCGGGAAGCAAAACGCTCGCTTTGTGCGAGCGTTGAGATCACCACACGGATTATTACGTCAAACACATACAACGGAAACACATGGACATGTAATTTAGGAGAACTGCTGCAGCCGCACGTGTTGCGTGCACCGCATCGATACATATACGTGTCTGCCATAACTTTCATACTTCTACGATCCACACAGCATTTGTTGATCAAGGCACTTAACGAAACGGAAAGCAGAGCGCTGGAGTTGTTTTGATGTGATAAGCCGTGTAACATTGTAATTATTCGGATTGCCAGCATGTTGGCTGCCTCGTGTGACAGATGTTAGTTCTGTCTAATGTTGCTAGTCCCGCATACCTGAGTGGAGGTAAAAACGTACCTCGCCATGACAGGTGTTACGTAGTTGCAAGTGCCGCTACAGCACAAGTTTGCGCCAAGATCCGACGAGTGTGGCCCAGCCGGTCTCTTCGCCAGCGGTCTATACTGAAAAGTGTAACGGGGTTACCGGTTACATGATATTGTCATTAAGGCTAAAATGACAACAAAAAATATTACGTTGAATATTCTTTCAACAATATCACAGAGCATGGTGATATTGTTGAGATGAACGAAGGGTCTACTCATTGGTTGATAACGTGATGATACCAACCTACCAATCGCTGCTAGACGCGCGCAATGGGTGGTGAGGAGACTTCATCATGCGTTTAGTTAGATTAGTATAATTAAGTCAGGACAAACAGAGACACCAGATTGATAGGACTTAATTGTATTAAATAACAGTTTTACTTTTACCAGAGACTAGTGTGAACCTAGTCTCCTTTCCTTCCTCTGTGTTGGTGCAACACTTAGCAGGGCACTGACTATCACTGGTGTCAGTGGAAGTGAGCTCCGTACTGGTCAAACAGTACGTTGTCACCAGTGTCCCGTTACAAAAAAGCTACAGGCTATTATCTACAGCTTCGAGCCCGATGGCGTGTCCAATCTAGACGAGACAGGACTTTCGAGGGAATGCTGTCTGATCCGTCACCCGCCATGGAACGCATTCGTGGCAAGATCGAGGACATGGCTCATCCTTTTGTAGGCCTTTGCGGCAACATGAGCGGTGCGAAGCGCACACCTCTGTGGTCATTCACACGATCGACAGACTTTCCTCGTTTGTTTGTGAATCGAACGTCGACCGGCTCGGTATTAGATACATTGGAACAAGAAATTATCGATGAACCACGTCGGGCTTGGCGATACAAAGCTACTCCACCAGATTACTTTGCATGCACTGACGCGATATTAAAATGCTCATGGGCAAATTATTATTGCACGGCGTTCGTGAGCTTGCGAAAGCATGCTTCCACCTCCTTCCGCTCAACATAACTCCTCATTTGCAGTCAGTGGACGCTATACTCATCTCTGAACCGACAATCAGCTGATGGGATTTCAGTCAGCAAACAAGGTCACGTCCAATGCGTGAAAGCGGTCATCAGTCATACAATCGGAAAACTGTTGGCGCTTTTTACACAAAGATTTAGCTACCACTGCAGTACAAGTCGTTGGTCAGAGCTCACGGCTCTTGTCGACCAACTTGACCTCGATCACCCCTCATGCTAACGCGGTGTAAATTTAAAAGACTAAACGCGATCCTATGCCAGAGAAGTATCTTAGCGATACAAAGGAAGAAGATGAGGCCGATGATGAGGAGCGGACAGCAAGCGTCCTGTTTTGCAGCGCAAGTGTAGCGGAGCTGCATATCCCCTTGAGTCAGAGGTCGACTACACGCTCAACGAGCAACTTCAGGTTCAATGAATCCGACTCAGAGAGTCAAACAGCTCAGAGGGCTTAAGGTTTGGTTCAGAAAACCCGACTCAAAGAGTCAACAAGCTCAGAGAGCTTACGGTCTATGTTCCAAGGCGACCAAACGATTCAGAGAATCAAGGCACAGAGTGCACAAGGGGTAGCTGTCTTAACAAGGCGTTGCTATCGTCGCAAACGATAACAAGTCACCTCAGAGAGGCACGTGTCTTAAGTGATCAAAATGGGAACTGAACTTTATTTCTCTTTTTCTAAAAGAACAACTTAGAACAGCTTAATAATCTACTCGCCAATGTCCTAAATAAAACCTCTCAAAAGATCGCGTAATCAATGGTTGACAGACATCAGACTTCAACAATTGACACGGTGCTCTAATATCACTTTAAAGGGGATCCCATACCTTGTGTACACCACACCTATTGTCGACTACCAGTCGACGTGAAACCCCGTTACACCCTCTTCCACCAGACTGACGTTACCACAAAGCGTCAATCGATTTCTTTCCTTGAAGAGTACGGTGTGTGTGCGCTTCAACCTTCACGGTTTACAAGACACGAAACACCATGGCATTGCCACGCAATGAGTCCTCGACTCTCTCTTCCTACATAGGCATTGATGTGGAGGTGGACTATGGTAGCGATACTGATATCCATGGTTGAAGAGAGGACAATGTCCGACTCACCAGTGCAAGAGTCCCCGCCTTAAACTGCCCCGAACCCATTTGCCGAGCGTGTCGAAGACAACGCGCTACCGGCGCTGCATCAAACACCCATCATAGGCGATGCAATCATCACCATTTCGCTCGATGAGCAACAAAAGTTGTCTATCAAGAGAGAGGAGAGCGCCCAGCGCCGTATGAAGCTTACTGCAACCCTTGAGGGTCGTCGTGGCTATCTGTTTACTTCACTAGGTGTGGAAGAGCGTATACGCCAAACGACAGGTCGTTCTTTGGCAACGTGGGCCATTGGCGCTGAGCCGACATCTCCTGATGATGTGGCGAGTCGATAGGTACTTCGCGGGAGGTACTCGGAACCTTACTTGACGACTCAGAGTCAATACAAGTTGCGACTTGACACGCAAGCACGGGGTGCACCGGTTCCACCGACGAAGGGAATGCCCATCCTCTTTTTTGCAGTCGAATCTCAGGAAGAAGAAGACAACGCGTTTGTTCGCTGGGTGCATCGGAAACGACACCTCAGCTGCGTGTTATATCTCAGAGCAAGTGCCGATATGGCAGACGTTCGTCTAGAACGAAAGCTTCGGTATGATTACGCCAAGCTTAAGGTCAGGGGACAGTTGCGAACTCGCACACGCTACTCCCCGGCTGTGTCGGCTGATGTGGGCGTTGGTCAAGCGGTGCCCAACTACCCACCTGCTTCCACCACTATCGGTGAGAAGCGTCTTTGGTCACAGGAGGACCCTTGCCGCGATGTTCAAAAACATCCGAGGAGTATGGTCGATCCTGCCGAAGAGATATCTCAAACTCCAATGCATTTTCCGACTCCGATTACCCTCGCCACTTCACCAGATACTGGTATTGACCTTGATGACGACGTCATTTCAAGAGTCGCTCCACATGGAACTGGCGGTTCCCTTGCTCATCGAGCAGCGTCGGAGGTGGTCGGTATACCAAAAAGGAGCATGGGAAGGTGCTTCTCGAAATAAGTGGTCTTCGTGGGACATTTGGTAAAACCCAGAGTGCGCTTGAAGCGATGCGAGCCCGTTTTCAGGCGTCGGAGTTGGGCCAAGCGCGTGTCCAGGCATTGTAGTTGGGCCAAGCACGGATGGAGGCTCAGCTTGACCTCCTGATACGGATTCAGATGGCAAGGCCAACTTACGCGGTGCAAGCGCCTCCAAGTTCACGTGGGGTGGATCCCGATACGTCCTAAGCAATCCTACGTAGAACACAGGGTCTGTGCGCAGTTTGCGCGGAAGGTTTAGCGTATACGCAAGTCCCTTCTTGGCGACGACCGTGAATGGTCTAACGAAGCGCGGACGAAACTTTGTCTTGAAGACAGCGGATTCTACATTTGTAGGTAGGTTTTTAGCATTGTGTAATACGTGGTCTCCGACCTCATAACGTTCAATACAACCTCTGCCTTTAACATCAGCTTGTTCCTTCTACCTGTCTTGGCTATCATCCAGTGAGACACGCACATGTCGTAAGACATTTAATCGCGGTGCGAGAAACTCGCTTACCTGTTTTTGAACAGTAGCAGGGCTGATATCAGCAAGCCGATCGGCAACTCCTCCCCCACCAAGCCCTGAACCACGGAGTGGTAGCGTTAACTGAACGCGAGGGTGTGTGAGACCATTCACGTAGAACGGTGTGTAGCCGGTGGAGGCATGCACGGCGTTATTCAACGCAAACTCAACGGCAGGGAGCATCGAACTCCAACGTTTCGGCGTTTGAGCGCAAACGCTGCGCAAGATGTCACCGATGATGAGATTCACTCGCTCGGTTTGACCATCAGTCTGCGGATGATCCGCTGTGGACATGTCCAAACGTGTGACGAGCACCTTGAACATGGATTTATCAAAAATTCCCAGTGAAGCGAGGATATCTATCAGCGATAATTGACAACGTTAATCCGTGTTGCCGAAACACTCGATCAATAAATAGCGTAGCTGTACCTTCACCATCGATAGAATCCGGCACCGCCGCCAAATGAGCCAGCTTGCTAAAACGGTCAACAAAGATCACAATACTCGTATTGCCATACGAATCCTTTGGTAAACAGAACAGAAAATCCATACTGATGGACTATCAACACCCTTTGGGTGCAGGCAAACTAGCCAGCGGCGCGGCCGCGTGAGCTGTGGGTTTGCCCGTAGACACGTTTCACGCGTACGCATATATGTGCTCACCCATATGTATAGTTTGAGCCACCATTAGCATGGGCTAACTGAGCCATA